TGCTCCTTTGTCTGCTTGCTGCACGTTGCCCACTCTGTTTTTCATTCGCAGCGTTAGACAGCGAGAGAGAATCGAGTCAGCTGACGGGGAGGGAAAGGTGAGAGGAATCTGACGGGACAAATGAAGGCTGATTGCATCTGCTGTGAAAATGATTGGCAGCCCAAAGAGAAGCTGCCTCTCGTCACCTCTGGGTTTTCCTTTAATTTGTACCTGCCTCCACCCCTCACGCAGCACACAAATGTCCTATTTGCTCCTCTGTTTTACCGCCGTCACTTTGGGTTTTTGCAATTGCATTTGTAGAAAAATGGAGGACACGGTTAAAGGTGGCGACGCATGGGACTGAATTCAGGAGCAAGCTCAAATTACATGTATCAACATATTCATGACACTTCTGTTGTGCATGAAGTAAGAGAGATTCTGTGTATTTAATCAGTTTGGAAAGTTTTGTCTTTTTACAGTTTTTAACATTTTATTTGAAATACTTGTGCTAGCCACACTGCAATAAAATAAAAATGATGTTTCCTCAGATGTTTCCTAAGCTGTAAACATTAAAAGGCTCACTGGAAATACAGTTTTAGTGTTAGCATTGTCTTACAGCGGCATAATTGCCTAAAAACCTGAAGCTTTTTAATGTTTACTTGCATGCAAAACTGAGGACTCATTGTTAAAAAAATGACAGCACTAATTAGGCGGTAAATCTTCCACTGTTATTGTTTCAATTGCTCAATGTAAAAAAACATACACCCCAATTCAACAACACTATCTTCCTGTCACCTACTTTCTTTTGGTTGTTTATATGATCGCCAAGACAAATTCCTTGTATGTTTGACATATTTTGGCAATAAATGTTTCCTGATTCCTGATTAATTTTCCTCTTCTGGGTATCATCACTGTGATTTGATATTATCATTATTACTATTATTATTAGAGTCATGAGGAAAAATTAATTAAGAATGTGTCTTAAATGGATTGGCGATATCTTGGAGTGTGTCCTACCAGGTGTGTTGTGTTGATAGTGAGTGAGGAATGCCTTGTGTACCCAAAACTGCTCCCTTGGTGGGGAACTGGATTTTAGTTCAACTTTATCACTTTGCTCACAAGTTATTGTAAAAAGCTATTAGCAACAAAAAGAAAACTGAAAAAAACCCTGAAAATAAATGTTGTTTTCGTGTTTCGAAAACAACGTTTCTCAATGTGTGCGTTGGAACCCCAAAAGCTTTGAGCTTTTTGCAGTTTTCCTGTAACGTCCATTAACAATCTTTAAAGGCTCCACAAACCAAATTGTCTACGTATCCACAGTGAAGCATGGTGGTGGAAGCATCATATCCACAGTGAAGCATGGTGGTGGAAGCATCATATCCACAGTGAAGCATGGTGGTGGAAGCATCATATCCACAGTGAAGCATGGTGGTGGAAGCATCATATCCACAGTGAAGCATGGTGGTGGAAGCATCATATCCACAGTGAGGCATGGTGGTGGAAGCATCATATCCACAGTGAAGCATGGTGGTGGAAGCATCATATCCACAGTGAGGCATGGTGGTGGAAGCATCATATCCACAGTGAGGCATGGTGGTGGAAGCATCATATCCACAGTGAAGCATGGTGGTGGAAGCATCATATCCACAGTGAAGCATGGTGGTGGAAGCATCATATCCACAGTGAAGCATGGTGGTGGAAGCATCATATCCACAGTGAGGCATGGTGGTGGAAGCATCATATCCACAGTGAGGCATGGTGGTGGAAGCATCATATCCACAGTGAGGCATGGTGGTGGAAGCATCATATCCACAGTGAAGCATGGTGGTGGAAGCATCATATCCACAGTGAAGCATGGTGGTGGAAGCATCATATCCACAGTGAAGCATGGTGGTGGAAGCATCATATCCACAGTGAGGCATGGTGGTGGAAGCATCATATCCACAGTGAAGCATGGTGGTGGAAGCATCATATCCACAGTGAGGCATGGTGGTGAAAGCATCATATCCACAGTGTGGCATGGTGGTGGAAGCATCATATCCACAGTGAGGCATGGTGGTGGAAGCATCATATCCACAGTGAAGCATGGTGGTGGAAGCATCATATCCACAATGAGGCATGGTGGTGGAAGCATCATATCCACAGTGAGGCATGGTGGTGGAAGCATCATATCCACAGTGTGGCATGGTGGTGGAAGCATCATATCCACAGTGAGGTATGGGGGTGGAAGCATCATATCCACAGTGAGCCATGGTGGTGGAAGCATCATATCCACAGTGTGGCATGGTGGTGGAAGCATCATATCCACAGGGAGGCATGCTGGGGGGAAGCATCATCTCCACAGTGAGGCATGGTGGGGGAAGCATCATATCCCACAGTGAGGCATGGTGGTGGGAGCATCATATCCACAGTGAGGCATGGTGGGTGGGAAGCATCATATCCAACGTGAGGCATGGTGGTGAAGCATCTTATCCACACTGAGGATGGGGGGTGGAAGCATCATATCCACAGTGAGGCATGGTGGTGAAGCCATCATATCCACAGTGAGGCATGGTGGTGGAAGCATCATATCCACAGTGAGGCATGGTGGTGGAAGCATCATATCCACAGTGAAGCATGGTGGTGGAGGTGATTCCTCGTCAGAATTGAGGGACAGTTGGATGGCGCCAAACACGCGGCAATCCTTGAAGTAAAATGGTTTTACCTCAATCCAATTGAGAGTCTATGCCAAGATTTGAAAATTACTGTTCACAGAATGTCTGTTTTCAATCGGACTAAGCTTCAGCTTTTTTACCAAGAAGAACAAGCGAACATTTCCATCTCTAGATGTGCAAAGCTGGTGGAGACATACCACAAACTTTAATTGCAACTGTAATTGCACCGTGAGGGCATTCTACCTAGTATTGGCTCGGGTGGGGAGGGGCAGTGAATACTTCCAACAGGTGTCAACTTTTTTGTTTTCATCATTGTTTGTGTCAAACTTAACAGTATTTTGCACCTTCAAAGTAGTATGCATGTTGTGTTGACCAAATGGGGAAAAGTTTATTTGAATTCCAGATTGTAACTGTCGAAAATGAAGGGTGAATACTTGCAAGGCTCTATATATTCATGTCAATGCTTACTTTTTCTCTTTTTTGATGCAAAGGATGGTAAACCCTAAAATGCTAATTTGTGATATTGGACTATACAAATAACAACGGGCTTAAACTGAATTAAACGGTCATCTGTTTGATTCTCAATAGTTCCTGATTTTTAAAGGAGACTGATTGCATCAATTTCATTTTAACCTTAACTCCAACTACTATTATTAGATTAAATAAGTGGATACATACATTAAAGATCAAGGGTCAACCACAGTCAATGGTGCAGTTAAATATGACTGATTGAAGGTCAGCTCTGTGACCTTGAATTTGATTCAACAAGTATGGATGACTAAAAGATACATTGATGATGTACACTCCCATTTGAAAGAGAGCTTCATTTCCCACATGGATATATATTAAGAGATTATGAACTTTGACAATGACGAACATATCTCTGGCCGATTAGAAAACTTGAATCACCTGCTTCTCATGCTTCTTTTTTTTCTCGGTGTGAATGTGTGTGTGCATGAGTTTCAAATGTTCAGCCCAGGCATCAGGAAGAATCAAGTGTTTTGTAGAAGCTCAGAAGACTCCTTTGGGATCATAAATATTAAGAGTTGATGAGACTGATCTCAGGACATATTTTCGTTGCATAAACCTGACTATATGAATGTCGCAGTGATTTTTCAGTTTTCTGTAATTGACATTGACTTTTTCAGGTGTTATCTACCAGTCTCTTGTCTTTTCTTCTTATTTTGTATTTTCAGGACTTGTCTGGACATCAAGACCCCGAGTGTAGGTGCCCCCCCCCCCAAGCTCGTTCTCATACCCAGGTCACACACTTCTGCTTTGTGACGTACCGAGGCTCACAGACCTCACAGGCCGTCCACAGCAGGGTGAAGATGCCTCCGGCTGCTATCAACCAATTTAAAAAAGGTTGTGCTTTGGAATGTAACCAAAGAAAAACGATCAGATAACAACATCATTCACTTTCACCAACGCCACGCTCTCTTTCTCTGTTCGGATGGATTTTAACTGTTGTTTTTCCAAACAGCAAACAACAACTTGAATACATCTTAAAACTTTTTCAAATAAGAAATTGACTTTAGTGTAAAAAAATGTTTCCCTACCTTGTTAATCGCTTTGCGGATCCCCAGGTTTACATTTGGGGGGTCCCCAACCCACAGTTTAGGAAACAGTGGGGAGATATCTTCATGGCGATGCATGCACAAACCAAAGAAAGACCTAAAAGTGTTGACAACCCCGCCGGCCAAAAATCTACCTTTGGCTTAGAGTTGCACAAAAATCATGGAAATGCCCCAAATGCCGAAATCCAAATATTGTTGTCTGCACTGATTATTTATGGTATAATATGTATCGCACAACACTTGCCCACGCATCTGCAGAGACGCACAAAGAAAGGAGCAATACATCACAGCTGAAACAATCAAATTGTTGGTGACACGAGCCATAAAGGCGACACAAAACATGAGGTGTTGTTCAGATTTGAAGGCAGGCCTGAAATTGAAAATAAAGCTGTGTATTATTTGTGATTGGGTTTGCCCCCCCTCCCCCTCCCCATCTGGTTCTTTCCAGTGCACCTGATAACCAGAACACACACTGAGGCATCAGCTTCCCCTCTGTTCATTCATACCATTTAGCTGCTTAATGAGCTCCTCAATCATGCACGCAAAAGAAGAATCAACAAACCAACGCGTCCATCCTTCCCAGTTAAAGAAGTGCTCAGTTAGCTTTAGACATGGGGGAGGGGGGGGGGGTATTCGCTGTCAACACGTCACTTGAGAGACAAGGACATAAAAACGTGGTCTGCGGGACACACATATTTTACTTGTAGGGTGTGGGCGTGGGAGCTGGCGGGGGGGGGCGCGAGGACTTATAAGAGCAACGCAGAGCTTGCACTCTGGAACCACGCGCCAAGTGCAGAACAAACCACGGGTTCTCTTTTTACCTCCGTGTTGGGCGTGAAGCTTTTGGTCTCCTGTCCGAGCCTGCGTGCACTTTTGTTCCGTCAGCCCTCAGATGGAGGCTCTGAAGTTCGCCGTCGTGTTGTCGGTGGTCGTGTTCGTGCAGGTGTTCGGCGCGCTCGGGACGCCGATCTCCAACGAGGAGGAGGACGCGGACATCTGGACGGTGGAGAACTGGCAGGTAAAAGGGAACCGGCACCGGATACGTGTTTAGAGGCGGATTCAGATGCGTTTTGGTTTATAGCTTTATCGTGGATGTGTTGCTTAATGCATTTGCATTCATGTCTTCGGAGATAAAGATTCTTTCCGTGCGTAATGAAAAAGAAATGCATTGACGCCTATGAAAGTTTATATTGGGTCAGTTATTGTATTTCTTTCCCAAACCATTAGTTGGAGCGACTATTAAGATGAGCTAAGTCTTCTTTGCCTGCAGACACGCGTGCTCTCCAAACCAAAGAAAGTGGATCAGACAGAACAGCTGCGCGTTATCCAGAACACGATGAGCGGAGCTCATTTTAGTGAAGAACAGACGTTTCAGTACAAGTAGAACTGAGTTGAAACTGTAAGTGTCGGGTAGACGGGGATGAAGATGAAGTCTTCCCAACCGTCCTCCGCTTATCGTCTATTTGTTTGTGACGTCTTCCATCCTCAGTTTCAGCACCGTGGACAGCACCAGCAGACAGTGGATGACTTAGGAAAATATTGGACTTACTCACGTTCCTGTGGCAAACAATGCGATGACTCACGACGTGTGTGTGTGTGTGTGTGTGCAGAGTTACCCGGTGGAGAGAGGAATAACCATCCGGCTGGCGGACCTCATCAAGCGGTCCAACGGGCAGCACTTCCACGGCCTGATGGGAAGGAGCTCGGGTAAACAAACAAAACAAGTGATCACACAATCGTGACACTTTTTGGATTATTTATGTTATAGTTATTATGCTTAAACAATGTATTTTTATTATTTTTATTTATCTCCTCTAAAGTTTGCAGTAAAACTTGTAGTTTCTCAGCAGGAAAAATAAACACTGGATCCCTCCTTTTGTTTCAGGCACATCTCAACCTTTGAGATTGGGCAAGAAAAGTGAGTGAGACAACAGTTTTAGCACCAGTTGTTATCATAATCTGGTTTCTTCTGAACACCTGCATTTTTATCTCTTGGTATCTTCATCAGGAAATAAAGGGGAGATGTTTGTTGGACTCATGGGCAGAAGGAGTTTAGATGGAGGTAATAAGTCTTTTTTGTAATTCTTATTTTCCTCTGTTCCTGTCAAATCAGCACTGACCGTATTATGATCATTATCATTATCAGGATATTTGTCATTTTGTGCTAAAGGTCTCAGGTGTAATTATTCTTCATCGCTTGTGCACATTTTATTCTTCATGGCGTCCTTCTCATCGTTTCTGCCTGAGGACATTCCTCGTTGTCAACTCCGGATATTTGTTCTTTTTCTCTCTATTTTTTCCAGATGTGGAAGAGGAATGGAACTCTGACTCATAATAAAGATGAAAAATGAAACAACCTAAAAATCTCCATAATCAAAGCTGAGATTAAACATCATTGTTTGTGTATAATTCGGTCCTGTTGTTGATCAACTGGACGTAGAGTGTCTCAGCCGGACAAAAGGTCTTTAATCTGCTGCGAATAACTGAAATCATCACTGATCCATAATGCTTATTGTTATCAATATTATCAGTAGTATTTAAATCAATGTACATGTAAGCCGTATGTCTTTTAAGAGTATTCTTGATGTTTTTTAATTCTAAATCCATTAAAGCTGATAACATTATCTACGTGTGTCTTTATTCTGTGTTGCCACTGTTAAGATTAATGTGGATGAATCATGACGATAGAGAATATAAATATTAACGCCCATCGAGATGAACCATCATGACAAATAAAACAACTGTATGCTGATTTTGAAGTATTTTTCATTATTGAGGAAATAAAGCTAGAGTTATATAATATTTGCGTAATGTTACAACTTAATGAATAAAGCATTATTTTGTCCACGTAGTTAGTTATTTCGCTACTTTTAATCGCTGTATCAAACATTGGTAAATTTGTGCTTGCGTCATATTCCTTCAAGGTGCACTCAAGTGGTTTATAGTGTCAAACCTTTAACAGAGAAATCCTGACTTTTAGTCACTGGTATACAACTCCCAGACCACCGGATCCACCCTGGTTCCCAAAGCAGCGCTTTGCCCCGTGAACAGTCCACAGTTCTCAACGCATCCTTTCTGTTCCAGATGTGTCGCCTCCGTGATCACTGTGACATCACCTTACTTTGTCAGGCTGAAGCCACGGAGGACATTATTCATTATTCAGCTGTTTCAACAGTAGCTCTCCCCACAGTGACCAAACTGACCTTTGTGTGAAACATTGCTGGTGCTCCTTTAGAGAGTAGACAACGTTCTTACGCCGGCTTCCTTCCCTCGGTTCCTGTTTGTGATCATCATTGTAAATTAAAGCCGTAAACCCAAACTACTCCGTAGAGCAGTAATTTCATAAGTAAAGACATTCACGTTTTTAAAAAATCAGTCACTCATACGGTTTGTCTAAACCAGGGGTCTTCAACGTTATTCAAGCCAAGGTCCCCCAAACTGATGGAGAGATGGAGCAGGGACCCCCTATTCTATGGAGTTTGGTCCGCTAGCTTTTATTTTTGAGCTTCACGCTCTTTAGACGTGAGCATAAACGCGATCTGATTGGCTGGTGCCTGCGCAGTCGTATCAGCGTGAGAGGCGCAGTGAGTGAACCGGTGCCAGCGTGTGAGCTGCTGAGGGAAGCGGAGTGTGTGTGTGTGTGTGTGTGTGTGTTGCGGACTGAAAGACAACGTCTTCTCCATCAATTTTTCCATTCTCTACAATATGTTGGATTCATGTGACTGTGTATTTAAAGACAATAAATACAATTCTGATGACATTTAAATTGTGTGGAAAAAATGTTGCGACCACCCTGCAGTACCTCCGCAGACCCCCTGTTGAAGACCTCTGGTCTAAACAATAGTAAAGTAACTTTTAGCAAAGTCTATTAATAATTTGTAAGCACAGACTTCAGACTTAATGACACCTCCCTCGTTTTCTCTACCCCCCTCAAACTGTTGCCGGGGGAAACAGCGCACACACACACACGTTTGTTTCATCACTTGCATTTATTGAAGAGGAGCGAATGCGGAGAAGTACAAAGGACAACCGAGCTACACATCGATGAGTCGCTGCGTTTGTGCTTACAACAGGTAGCGCGGTGCGTTCAAGTGCTGCGGTACTACAACAGCTCCCTGGTGGTGTTTGTACGGTGATGGAATAACTCGTGTTATTTCTCTACGTAAGCCGTCGGATGTGTCGGTAACCAGCAAGGAGCTCTGACGCCGCCCGTCTATAGCTGCCACCGGCCCGGAGAGGAAGGGCAAGACATCAGGATGGAGAGACGGACGGACCAAAAGGACTCGGCTTAAAGGGACATTTCTCAGGGATACATATGATCCATTTGTGATCTTTTAGTGTTCTAATTCACAGTTCAATCAGCATTTTACAATTGAGAAAAAAACCCACACATTTATGTTCCTTTTCTGCTCTGGCAAATATTCTCTGTGTTAATGATTCCACATAAAACATCTGAACAAAATAGCAGCGCAGTCACACCTAAACAGGTAATACCGCAACTACACAAAAGCAAAAAGCATGAGCTGAATTGGCCCAGTCTCGTGTGGTTCATTGTGTTTTGGGATGGATTCTTTGTTGTGTGAAAGTGCACTTTTCTGTAAATGCACTTAAGATTTTGGCGAGACCACCGAGACATCTAGTGGACGAACATTTCCTTTTCAAACGCGTAAATAAATAAGACCAGACATTCAGAAATATATCTCCAACATTTTAGTATTTAAAGGCAACATTTCATATACTGTGGAAGAGGAACAGCAAATGGAACTCTAGGCTGCTAACGCAAAGATTCCTCCACACATGAAAATTGTCATTGACAAAAGTGAGAAGAGAAAAGGTCTCCCCCCCCGCCCCAAAACAGACAAAAAGATGATTCTATCTGACATTGTTGGCAGCACACCTCCAATTTCACCGCCAGCTGCTGTCTAGGCGTGAGATCAATGTTTAAAGTTATATTTTTTAATAGAAAATATGAGAATGATAATTCCATCCCATGTTAGTTATACATGTAGCTAGGGCAAATAGCAAGTTAGCTTAGCATACGCTTAGTAAGCTATTGCTTCTAGTCTCTGTGCAAAGGACTGATTACATTTCACAGGTTTATTTCCTGTAATTTACACTCAAATCTACATCAAATTAGAGATAAATATTCATATTCACAAGGCAGACAGTTCTTTAGAGTTTCAATCCTTTACCGGACTTTTTCTTTTACGTTATACGCAGTTAAGATATTTTTTAAGAATATAAATAGTATACCTTTTTTTCTTTTCTAGTTAAAAAACAAAACAGGCTGAACACAACTTTATAGTTTCACAAAAACGCTTAAAATGGACCGTTTGAGCTTTTATACAGTGGTTAACCTCAGAGGTAGAACACGTACAAAAAGGTCCTTGAGAACTTGAGACCACCACAAATGACACAGAGCATAGCGACGTGTTCTGCTCCAACGCGGAGGACGGCTGAGATCCCCCATGAGCCTTTACTCTATGACATCATAAGACAACGCAGCCTTTACCGAGAGAAACGAAGACGAGGGGAAGGCAGGTCGGTCCCATCCGGTGACATAGCAGAGGTCCAAAGAAGACCAATGGCAGCTATAGCCTTCTGACCGAGCGGCTGCTGGTGCCGCGGGTTCAATAGTGCACGTGACGAGTGTGTGTTGCATGAGAGCGATGCTGAGCTGTGGGTTAGCTCTGGGTTCAAACCATAAACGTCTGTACACTCCGTCTGGTTCTATTGTTTAAATAAAAAGGAAAATCTGTCACCGGATGATGGGCTCTACAGTATTTTTAACTTTATTATTTAATAATATTGTTTTGTAGCAGATGTATGATGTAAAGTAATGTAACTGTAGCTTAGACCAGTGGTTCTTAGTCTTTTTTTTAAATGCATTATCTAGATCAGTTTGAGTTGTGACGGTTGGTCACACAGGCGGAGCGGTTCAGAACCACTGGCGTAGACCCAGTTACACGTGAAGTACTACAGCACGTGAAGTGACAAAAGCTAAAATGGAAAATAACATTTTCACAGAAGCTCTGAGCGGGAAGTGATAAAATGAATATTTTGATACATTTCCTTGATGTTGCTTTCCTTACATTTGCAGGGGAAAAATAAAAGTTGTTAGTTTGCATCAGACTCTCAAAGATGCTTCGGCACAATTCTTTACTCGCATGCCTTCAACAGATTTTACTCCTGTTCCAAATTAGTTTTCCAATTATCGACGAGATCTGTCGGGGTTCTCTCCGTTAAGCCACGTGACCTCAGCGCCAAATCGGTTCCTGTTCCTATAAACTCCATTCATCTTTCTTTCTGCCGCGGCGTAATCACAGCCAGCTGGTGTGTGTCTGCCGAAACGCACCGCGTGAGTCAACGTGCTGCGGACCTGCGTTGTGTCGGCAACCTCCGGAACGGAATGAAAAGCAGCACCGGTTCAATACCGGCTGCCACAGATTGGGTTAGCGGGGGTGGCTGGTGCTCGGTGCTAATCTAGTGTCCGGGGAGGAGGTGCACTAACAACGCACAATTACTTTCACTGGTCAGACAAAAAAAAATGAGGTCGAGGAGACATTGTTCTGCTCATGGTTTTGTTCCTCAGCCACACTGAAACCGGCAATATCAAATGTAAAGAGGAATGGCGCTCTCCTACGGAACCCCAAGGTGGTCACTGTTACACACATAAAATGACCGTATTAGATTAATAATCACATTAATGAATTGCAAATCAACACTAAATTATTAAAATTCCATTCAATTTGACTCAATTTGAAGTGCCGTGTAATTTCATGTGTTAGCCAATGTGCTGGGCAGTTGCTTACATGTATGACCTAAATATAAACTGGCGGTAATGTAATATATTGTGTTTCGCTCTGGTTTCCTAAAAACTATTTAGGGACATTTTAAGTTGTTATATTTATATTTTTTTAATTTGCTTCAAATCAAAACCGTAAACTAACCCTGACTGACAGAATCCTGATGCGTTCCCTTTAATGCTTAAACAGTCGGCGTATTGGTGTCTCACGCCGAGCCGTGACATTGACTTCTGAACCCAGAGTTAACAGCCGACACGAGTGGACGCGGAGAGGCTTTTGTACAGAGTGTGTGGGCTCAGGGTCTGTGAGCGTGCGGTGGAGTATCTGTGTCAGTGTGTGTGTCTGTGTGTGTTTCTGGGTTTGTAGTGTGATGGAGGCTCATCTACGTCCCTTTAGGCGGTGTCCATTTTAAGGCTTTGGGGTCGATGGTCTTGCCGTTGCCGCGCTTGGTCTCCTTGGCCTTCCAGTCGTCAATGAGGTCCTGCAGAGAGAAAGCCCCCCCTCCCCTAATTTAGAGCAGCGGGATGAAGCTGAAACGTGCTCTTCCTCAGTCCCCCCTGATGAAAGCATGAAAGAAATTCTAAATTCGATGGTTTGGTAACATACCTGTCTCTTTAAAACAAGGTGCTTTCCCTTCCAGTATTTCAGCATCTGGAGGGATTGCAGCGTGCTGACGATATCCACTGGGTTCACCGCCGTCTCCTGGCTGATCTCTGTGGACACGGGAGGGGACGAGAGGGGGCGGCTTTCAACAACAATCAGCTAAGTGCTGAGACCTGTATGATAAAAAGCTCAGTGACAAGTTAAAGAAGTAGTAGCTTACATGCCCGGAGCTAAATGAGATGATGGAAGCTCCTCCAATGTGTCAGTAAACGTAAGGCTACAGCTGGTTAGCTTGGCTTAGAATAAAGACTAAACAGGTAGATTGTTTTCTAAATGTTTGCAAAATGCAACATTAAATATGAAAAAAAAAGGTCTAAAAAATGAAATTATTTACTTTTTAAATCTGAAATTGAATGAATATTTGGTAGTTTGGACCAAAGTAGGTTATCAGTGAAAAGTGGAAAATAACACTCATTTGTAGCTCCTAGTCAAACAATCTCTGTCTGGGGTTTTGGCTTTTCTCTGGAATGGATAAAACCAGGAGATACTAAATGGGTTTGGGATGAGCCCGTTTTGCTTGAGTTAAAGTATTGGGTGCATCCACCTTCACTCATCACCTGAACGCTGACTTGACAGTGTCCTCTGGTCCGTTCAAAGGCGACACACATGAATGCATGAGTGCACTTAAAAACACAGACAGATCTTCTGCTGGCCCAGCTCTGACCTTTGATGGAGATCTCTTTGCCCTGGAAGTTATTCAGGTAGCGCAGCAGCACCTCCTTCCAGTAACTCCGGTAGCTGATGAGGCCCAGGTCGGACAGGGGGCGCTCAGGTGAGCCCACCTTCTCCTCCACTTTGGACAACAGGTAACCTTAAAAATCGCAGATCAGAAAGAGCTTTATTTTTTTTGTTGGCTACACTCCTACCAAAACATTCCTTCCTCCCACTGAGGAAATATGGATACAGACAGAATACAGTCGACAAGTGAAATGAGTGACAGCAAGAGCTAAAAAGTGTTTTCCTGCAAAGGGAAAGTGCTCCAGACAGCCCACTTAAAACACACACACACACACACACACACACACACACACACACACACACACACACACACACACACACACACGTCTGCACTCACTGAAGTCTATGAGCATCTTGCCGTAGCCCTGCCTCATGTACTGCGGCATGGTGAGGATGCACGACACATTGTAGTTGAGGAAAGAGTTCTTCTCCTGCAGAGGGAGAATAATTTGTCAGGTCATACATCTGTACCAAGATTTTGGAATTTGAGGAAGTTGGTATTTTCAGCCGATGTTTAATCTTTTCAATGGGGACAAAAAAAGAAACTTTTAGCGATCTCACTCTGGCTGTGCATATTCACTCGAGCGCGTTTATTTTCTCTGGTAAACACGGGACATTTGGTGTACAGGTTATCCATGTCTTCCATGCTACCTTGGAAAAGTATCCCACCAGATGGCACCCTGTGCTGTCGGCTTCGGTCATGACGTAGAAGAGGAAAGGTTCTACGTCGTAATATAGTGTCTTGTGGTCCAAGAAGAGCTTTGCCAGCAGACACAAGTTCTGGCAGTAGATCTGTGAGCAAGAGCAGAGTAATTCATCACAGTTTACAGGAGACACAGCTGGCTAACCGCACACCGACAGATCATGTGATCATGTTACCTTCAGGCACAAGATGGGTTATAAAGTCCAGAGACGCAGGTTCTACTGAAAGCTAAAGAAAAGCTGCGAAAAACCAAACCAGAAGGGCCCTTTTTTGTAGACATGCACACAGCTTATCAAACAAAAAGAGAAGGGACCCTTGACAGGGGTCGGTGACAAAGGGGTTTAGGAGAACCTGTAGCATTCGTAAATGCTCTAGTCTTTGTGAGGATGAATGATATTCACAATGTACAGGTAGTTTGCCTTCAAGTCCTTATTTGACGTGAGAATTCCTTACAGGGAATAGTTTGGATATTTTGACCTTACCTTCAGACGGCCCTTTCTGACGCTGGTAAATCTCACTCTTCTCTCCTTTGATAATATCTTCATGGCTTTATGGTTTACTGAGACTACATTCGTTTCATGCAACTCTGACAAATTCTGGTCCAAAACATTCAGTCACATGTTTGGAAAGTTCTGCCACTCCGACAACTTCCTCGTGCAAGGTCCTCTAAGAAGACCGCTGAGCTGGCTACATTTGTTCCGTTGTAATGAAGCAGTACAGTTAGCCCTCAAACAAGTGTTACCGACACATTGACGCACTGGAGAGTTCCCTCAGAACTCGGAAAAAGGATGAAAAATAACTTGGGGAATGTGCTCCTTTACCTTGTTCTTCTTTCCGTCCACCTCAAAGACAGAGATGTTCACCTTCCTGTAAATCTCGTCACCTGGCGGGTGCTTCCACACACACTTGGCCTTAATGCAACGGAGATAAGAGCAAGCAGCACAGGTCAGCTTATATAAAAAGATGGCAAACGTTTTCCTTTTGCATTACATGTAATATGTGCAGAATACGCCCTTTAAACTATAATAGTGTATCTTTTTAATCCCGCTGGACTGTTCTTAATTGTTTCCACGTTCAATTTGAAAATTCATATGAATATTGCATAAATGGCCACAATCTTCCACAGGCAATGGCGTAGTTCAGAAGAGCGCCGCTCTGGTAAAAGGTCTTCTTCACGCTTCTCGCACTCCAATATAGAAACAGTGTGACCTGCATGAGTAGAGCAAAGTTATACAGTCTAAATCTAAATAGAGTCGGCATGGTCCAGGAAGACAATCATGAGTTGCCTCAGGCGTTGAGATAGTGAGGTCAGAGTTGCAGCTGCATTCCGTGCCGCAGTCTATTTTCACTTTATGCTTCGACATCACTGAATGGAAGCTGTTTGATCAGCGATCAGAGACATTTCAGCTACGATAAAGTGACGCTCCCTCACCTCACCGGGCAGAATTTGCAGCATATAGCGGCATTCTTTTACCCTTATTTATAGGCGGGATAAGGATAGAAAGTTCTATGAGAGCCTTCTCTGTTAGAGCTTTTTATTTTATTATAAATACACTACATGTATTAGTTATTTTCCCCATTAGCTTATTTTCTCACAGCACACCTCCTGTCTTCCTCTCTTGCTGCTTCCACTGCAGCTTGTTTTAAAGAGAGATTCAGCCTGTGTATTTGCAGCATTCTGTCATAGTTTGTTGTAAATAAATGTGACTGGTTCTTGTGAATTACTTTGTCCGTTAATTACGCAGCATCCCGTAATTTGTAGGCGTTGCGCTTCGTGTAACATTTCCCTTTAAATGTTACAGTGTAATGTGAATATGAGGTGTTTACACAGAACAAATATTAACCGGTTACTGTGCCGTCATAATGAGGATATTAGACACACCGCCAGGTCTAATAACACTGAATTAAAGACTTTTACAACATAAATGCAAAGAATTACTAAGATAAAAGTTTTCAAACCCAAGAGAATAAACATGGACCTCTTGGAAGTTCATGTGTAAACCAGCTAAATAAGAAGGCAAAGACGACAGTGGACCTGTCGATGAGTCTAATACAGTAAGACCCTGAGACGCATTGCACTGATTGCTAGTGGAAAGTACATTGGATTGATTTCAGACACCCGTAGAAAAACCTTTACCATGTGCCGGCGCAGAATGGTCTGGCTCTTCATGTACTTGAGGCAGAACTCGCACATGTAGAGCCTCCCCAGGCGAGCGTATTCCTCCGGGTACGGCGAATGGTACCACGTGTCCAGCTCGTAGCGGCCAAAAACAATGGTCTTTATCATGTTGCTGCCCTCTGACACCTGGCCGGCCAGCCGAAGTTTCTCCTATGGAGGCCAGGATAAGGGTGCGGGGGGGCAGGGGGAGAAAGGGTACAAAGAAGACGAGAAGAGGGGAGGAGAGAACAGAAGAGAAAGGAGAAAGATCCAAATTATTCTGGGCAGAGGATCCGGTGAACCAAAGATCATACATAGGACAACCCCAGTGGAGGCAACCAGCCACATAAAACCATGACAAGATGCAGGAGGAGGGATGAGAATGAGGAACAAAGAGGATAGACTTGCATTGAAATTGTGTTTTCTCAGTATTTTTTAAACTGAATCTATGACTTTGATCCTGTGGACATGATATAAGGCCTTGAATTGATGGCAAAGGAATTTAAGATTAATTCATAACTGGCTGCTTTACCTTGTAATGACAACATCACTCTGACAAATTGTTCATTTTGAAAGATTGCTTCTTTTTTTTCAAATCGTGAAATACAACCCAAGTTTATTACAGTTTAAAAATGTGAGCACATGGCGTCTGTAGGTGACCAACTAAAAACCATACGAAACCGTCTGTGTGATCGGAGGACAACAGCACCTTCTCATCTGAATCACAAATTAACACAGCAGAAGAAAAGAAACCCACAGAATAACAGGAAGTGATTGTCCAAACTACCAAAAATATCTCAGACTCCTCCTGTGGCTGCAGAGGAGGGTTTTCTGACTGAAACAGAGAAGAAGAGGAATAATATGCAGAAAAGGGTGGGAGGGGGAGGGCAAAAAATAAAGGGAAGCGGGAGAAAAGAGTAAGGGGGGGAGGTGATGATGCTTTCTCTCTTACAAGGTCCTCCGAGGCACGTGCCTGCGCTTTCCTGAACAGCTCGAGGTCGTAGTCGCTGGTGATGTTCTCCAGCAGCGGCTCCCTGCTCGCTCCGTGGCTCTGACGGTGCTCCTGCAAGTAGAGAGATGGTGGGGGGGCTTTCAAAATATGTGCGTGCAAACATGCGGAGGTGTGCCAGGCACCAAACCCTTTTCATTTCACACGCACTTACCACGTGGTTGTCCTTCTGTTCCTTATTGAGACCAGAATTCCTCTTCCTCCTCAGCTCCGTCACCTTCTCCTTGTAACGCAGCTGGCGGTCCGACGGGGCCTGAGACCACACGGACACAAACGCTGAGACTCACAGCCGCGTGAGAATTTATTAAAAATAATGTGATCCTGAGGCACTTCGATATCAGTTAATACTTGTGTTTTTTTATGTTTTAGTACTTGGAAAAATGAACACAAACTGCGGAAATCCAGAGCCGGCAAAAGGTTTTCAATCAGCTGACTTTTTAGAGAAAACACTTCTCAGTGCTCAGTTATCGATGTCCTTGAGTGTTTGCTTTTCTCCTGGATAATTACATACAGTCTGCAACAAACTACCCAGTGTCACACTGTGCCATTACTTTAACCGCTTATTCCATAGAAAACATGGGACAACTCTGCCTCACTGCTTTAAGACTAATGCTGCAGTACGAGGACTTCCCCATTCACGCACACGCCGCCGCCCAAACGCGCCCTTAGCTCATGATTCCCTGGATCATTTAAGTAGTGTTACATAAGATCATATATGCACGTGTGTGTGTGTGTGTTTGTGCATGTATTTCTCTGTTTGAGGTGGGAGCATGCGTGACTCATTGTTGTGCCTGTGTGTGTGTGTTACCTGGTTTCTTGTGGAGTGTCTGTTCTCGTCCTGGCGGTGTGACAACGTCCTTTCCTCGGCCTGTTTGTCGCGCGTCGATGCCTTGCCCTAATAAAACATCAGCACGGTGTCTGCCACCACAGACTCACAACCCCCACAGGGGAGGAAAAAAAGGCAGAGACCCCTTTGTGTTCCTGGAAACTTCGCAGCTTGACAACTTTGATTTAAGTCTGTTGCATTCCTTCAGTTTCATCGCACTGGACACTTTGTTGCAGTGCGATGGCTGAGATATTCCCACAAGGGAAACTCGGTTTAACTAATGAATAATCTCATAAAAAGCATCATTTTTTTTAGACTTTCTCAGAAAATGGAAAAAAGGAAGATACCAGATAATACATAAACTGGTGAGAGCTTCCTGTGGAATATTTTTTAGCTGTCATGGTTTCTACTACTCATTACCACTACTCGTTACCCTGAAGTCCCTGTTGACGTCTTTGTGCGTATGTGTGTGTACCTTGCATTCGTCAGCAGAGAGATTGTGGTAGAGAGGGCATCCCGATATGGAGAAATGTCTCTCATGCCTCCCTGTTAGATGACCTGAGAGAAAAGGAAAGAGAAAGAGAGAGATGAGCGGAGCGCTGAGGGTTGGTTTGTGGGAGCGGGACATCTAACCAAATGAAAAATACGCTGCAGTGTTTGCGCCCTTACCCAAGGAGTTGCACCCGGGTGTGGGACACTTCATGTTGAAGTTGTAGCTCTCGTGGAAGCGCCGTCGTTTAGGCCGGTGGGAGAGGTCGTGGGCGGCGGCCTCTTTGAGCGACAGCTCTTTGGCCAGTCTCTCGTCCTCCTCTTGCGACACTACAATGTCGTTGCTAGACGACACAAGGTCGTTGCTGGGGCTGGAAGCATCGATGTCGGACTCTGACGACGGGGCGTTACCTGTCGGGGTCCGGGGAGGGGTCTCGTCCCGGTCCGCCCCCTGCTTCAGGTCTGCTGAGCCAAAGAGGAATGAGTGATTGCAACGACGGTGACCTCTAAATAAGTCTATGGTTTTTAACTTAAATGACATCTACGCTGTGTGGTGATAGCGGAGCTGGGATCGAACCACCTGTTCTAACTGCATGTGGAGACAGTAAGCAACTTATTCAGGTTTTAGGACTCACTCCTGCACCACCAGTGTCCCATGTGATAATCCAGGTCATGGTCCTGATCAATTTAGGGAGGAATTAACTGACATTAAATCTGGTGTTCCACAAGGGGCCAATTTACAGCCTTTTCCCAATGTTTGTAAAGCATCAATAATGGATTTCATCGTTAAAGAATTATTAATGATACGTTTATAGTTATTTTGTTGCCATATTGTGAGGATTTCTGCTAAAGGGGAGCCATTCACTTTTGGCCTCTTGGCTTTTTGGCCCTCATATCTGTTGCTACTGAAGGAATCTTGTTTTGTGTTTTAGGTTGTTGTAATGTTGCACTGTGATCAGGACTACATTGACAGTGACATTAGCGAGATTGGCATTGAATGAAACACGCAGATAGAAACTCTTCTTCTCTGACTTTACTGCCTAACTTATACTACCCTCGTCTCTTTTTCCTTCTTGTATGAAAGTACCAAACAGCGTTCACTTTGAATAGAAACGGTTAAAAAGCATCCTACGCCCTGGAGGATTAAAGAACTTACTACTGCTCTCACCATTAGCCTCAGTGTCTGAGCCAGATGACCTGCTCTGACGCAGTGGGTATGTTTTGGCGACGGTGTTTGTCGCCCCCTGCTGGCTGCGTGTGATCCTGCGCCCGGAGGAGAAGACAGACGCTGCCACTGCCGCCACCGCCGCCGCCGTCTCTGCAGCAGAATCTGGGCTTTCGTCTGGACCGGTGGCCGCAGGAGAGCTGCTCCGTACCGAGCTGCAGTTATCTAGAACACGCAATACGAGAAAATAGCTCACTTCATAATTTCCAGTATGATTTTAAGTACTGCCAACAACATAATATTCCTTTGAAATATGAATCCACTGAGAAATAGAATTTGGATGCAGCTTACTGCCAATATTTTCTCTTCTTTTCCTTTATGGCATTGCTAATTTTAGTGGGTTTTTAATAGATTTTGAAGATTAAGTGGTCATTTAAGATTATTTTTTAAAAAGCAGAAATATCCTAGCCTACATAACTAGGATTTCATACTAAATATTGTAACAATCGCACAGCTCTTTGATTTGAATTAATATCTATTGCTTTATTAATGTATCTATGGGTTCGCAATACCTGCTGTTAATATTTCTATTATTATGCACCAAAACACCAAGGCTTGTCTGAAAACCTACTTGACAATAAACAGGATTCAGATTCTGTTACTCTTTGTCTCATGTAGCCAAATTACTTTATTTAGGTCTTAGGTGATAAGGTGATTTTCATCAGCAGAGAGTAATCAAGAAATGAATCAACGTATTGGATTATGATGAAAATAATAACATTCTACGGCCATTGTCTACCTTATAACGTATCAGAAAAATTGCAGCAAATTGAAACTTAAGTTTAGGAAAGTTACTTTACTGCATTAGAATTGGCTCAAATTCCGGAAGAATTTGTTTAAACCTACGCTGTCTGTGGCGGACAAAGTCCATTCAAAACAAACGGTAACAACATGGCAGAGTTACTTGTAACGGGCCTCAATGATCAGGATGAGATTAATCCTGCGGCAGAAAGGAAGACCTTTGAATCCGCTGTTTTGGGGGAAGAAATAGCCGGTGTGTGTTGTATTAAGCCTCCACAGGGCCGAGGACAGCACAGCCAGCTTCTCTCAGGAACAACAAGCGGATTGTAAATCCCCCCTGGCAGCCCCGGCGGAAAGAGGTCACACAGGGGGTAGTGTGTCTGTGGAGGTGGGGGCGGTCAGGCTTGCTGAACCTATTCATGAATTAGGCCAGCCTATATCTATTAGACACTGTTGACGGGAGAGGATGGAGGGGGGGGGATGAGGTTTCCCTGCGGCAATGACAACATCCTGCCTCATTTAAATCCACTCCAAATAAAAAGAGAACCAAACTAGGATTAATAATTTAGAAAGATATTTCATCGAAACCATAAAAGAGTCTCCAAATAAGGCTGGCGGCAAGAAAAAGTTGATACAACCACGTTGCATGGGGCTCCTTTTGAATTTACAATGTGTTAACATTCATACAAATGGTAGAATGCTTTGCTAAGCCAGGCAACACATTACACAGACACCGACAACTAACTAAAATAGGTAATACAACCGACCCAAGCAATTATTTCAACAGTAAATGCATAATGTACGCGTTAACAAGCTAAAACGTTAATAACTATTTTGATAGAGCCGAGGCGTTAGCATGTAGCTCACTCATGCTAACCCTACAAACTACATCTAGTTAATTAAATATTCCTTTCCCCGTGCGGAAAAAAATGCCCTAATGTTGTTTCTTGTTCCCCCGTTTTCATTCCTATATTGCAATTGTTCTTACCCATCACATATGAATATAATAAGTTCGCGACGTATGTCATTTATGTGGTTTGTTTCTTGTCTTTGAATGTTTACCTCGTGAGCCGCGGCTGAGGCGCAGTGACGCGCGGGTCAGGCGCGCGCTGCTGCGCCGGTGCGCGCTCTCGGTTGTTTCCGTGTGTTCGAGGTCGGCGGAAAAATCCGAGTCCTCCGTCCCGTCCGAGCTGCTGCCCGCTGTCCTCTGCAAAAACACACAATGTGCATCAGCTACCAACGTGATTAAAGAGAGGGCGGGACCGGGCGGGACCGCCCCCCCCCCTCCCTGAAAAAAAGTCTCAATACATGCTCTAAAATAAGCCTAGTCGACAAGACAAATTAATGAACGAAACGTCCCATAAACTTGTGTCACCTCCTATTTTTTGTGCAGGCTGCCTGTCTGTCTGTCACACGGAATGAACGGGGTGATGCTTAACTCACCCCAGGAGAGACACTAATGTGGCAGGGTGGGGGAGGGCCAAGAGTACTGAAGGAGCCAACATACCATTGGTTTAAAAAAAAAAATAATATATATATATTACCCTGTAGAATACCCTGACTATTTTATATGAATGTATTTATAAATGTATTTGTAAATTAATAGTGCGGATTTATGTGTATTTCACACATTGCCCTTAATATTTGGGTGACTTTTTTTTTTTTACACAGCACCACCGTCGAAAACTAGAATAGGATATGATAACCCTTTATTGATACGCACGTGGATAGGTGTCCCGAAAAAAGAAAATGTGAGCAAAGCTACACCATGAATCAAATGTATATTAAAGCTATTCACAGATACAAATCAAATTAAAATAAGAAGGCTTTACCAAGCTGAGTACTTTATACCAGTTTAAATCAGTTCAGGCGTGTTAATTATTGTGGCGGCTGTGTAAAATAGCCATGACAACCTCACTGTTTGGCTACTTGCCTATTAATGGTAATAACAAAGTTAGATAAAGTAGAAGTCAGTAACAAACGATATGCAAATTTAAAAAATACAAAAATCGTATTGTACAGTGCAGCGTGCAACACAGCGCACATTCGACATTAAGCGCGTTTGACAAACTTCCCAACAAGAGGATGGAGGCTCATTTACATACGACCAATCACATTAAAGAGGAGGTGTGGTTAGAGACAGTTGGACCAATGAAAGAAACGCGATTCTAGATTCTGTCCAATCACAGCGTTGTTTTGGTCCGGACGCCGCGTTTCCAACCTCGCACTTGAAGAACAGCCAGGTCCATTTTAAACGGTTCTAGCGGCCGTTATCGACGCGAGAGCTGCTCAGCTTCCCCGTGCTCGCCACCGGCTGCTTGACGTCAGACACAATGACGCTAAGCAAATGTTCAAAGCGCTTTACACTATCGCACGAGGAGGCGACGCTGAATAAACTGCAACACGTCCTGCAAACTGCAAAGCGTAGCTTTTAGCAACAACACAAACCCGACAGCCCAGTCGAGGAGCTTTGCTCAACGCCCGCATGCACCACACACCCACAACTTATTAACCGACATCTTGTAGAATTCTCAGCTCACAAAAGGCGGTCCAGGGTACTTCCACACGGCCAGGTGATGGCTAACAATAACTATGACGTTATGTTGTTGTGTGTCCGCCCCGCAGCCTGACGGCTGTCTGCTGCATGCATCCGACTTACCTTTCTCCGGGGCATTTTCAAAGGTGTTACGTGTGGCGCCCGTGGCCAATTACTACGTCCCACTGTGAGGACAATTTATTTAGGGTTGTATAAATGAAAAGGACAGGAAATCATCAGCTTCTTATATGAGCCAACTCAGCTGAAAAGGGTGCACCAATTTTCCGCACTTCCTTGTGAGCACAGCGCAAACGCGTTAGTATTTGGGTCCGTCCACAAAATGCCTCCGTGTGGAACATGCAGCTGCGGCGGACCTCCGCGCCATCGGATAATGGCAAGACAGGAACGTCTCAAATTTCTAAAATAGAACGTCAACAAATAGTGATTACAGGTCAGTTACTAAACCGTGAGGCAACTAACTGCTCACAATCATCACCAATTGCGTCTAAACGAACACAACGTGTTTCGGGTAGCAAAGAGCGGGACCCCCGAGTAGTGTTCGAACACAATTAGAAATACGTGAGAAATATATTATACATCGAATTTTGTAGTGCTTTCAGTAGCTTACAGAAACACATATGTATTACGTTGTTTGCTTAATCCAGTCTAACGAACGAACCCCTAGAAACCAGACACAACACCGGAAGTAAGAAGAAGTGAGTCCTCTCGCTGCACGTCCGGTTATCTCTGCACGTCCAGGGGACGTCGTGCTGGTGGGAGGGACGCTGGCGGCAATTCGCCTCTGACGCGAAGTCGGACCTCTGTTTCCTGCTGGCCCGCTCCCCCCACACAGCTCAACGTAAACGAACGGGGAGACTTCCCTCCTCGCCGTATTGTAACTTCACTATCATGGCTGGTTGCACCTCCGAGACTGTGCACAACATTTTTCAAAGCATGGAGTACGGACCAGCAGCATGTTCCAGCACTGCCACTGCTCAGGTAAAGCTATCAACTTTATTGATTGCACGGCCATAGTGGCCATAGTCCAATTCCATGCTGCTTATGGGCTGATGGTATTGTGCTTCATGTTTCCTCGGGATTTGACATTTTCCTTTAAGACCATTTCACCCACACTTCACTGACTTTTAGCAGCCTGTAACTCGCAACACAAACACGTGACACTGTAGCAACAACACGACCGACTGCGGTCAAAACAGCAGACACTTGAATGTTAGTGCACGTGTATGCTGATGTTTACGGTATTAAACAAGTAACCGGAATAAAAGCTATTTAATCAAAGATTCTGGACAATGACTGAAGTATGTGTGTCCAGGACAATTCTGACTACTGTTGTACACTTTTACTGTACAAAGTTAGATAATTATCCTATTGTTCAAATGGCATTTCTCAAGTTTAAAGTGCAATAAAAATACTTTTCTCCCAATCTGTACAATAAAAACACTTCGTCTTCATTGTCCTAGTAGTCCGAGAGGTCCTTAACACACATGCATTGGTCTTTGTCTGGAACTATTGCAGTTCAAACGTGGAGAAATGGTGTTTTTGAACTTGCAATTATAGGGCTTTTACCTCAATTTTTACTGTAAAAATATTTCATTTATTGTACAAGAGTAGTCAGGGGGGTCCTGTACACACATACTTCTATCATTCTCCGCAATTTTCTATTTAAATAGCCTTCATCATCAGCATATACGTGCAGTTGTCTATGGATAAAAAACGCTGATATGTAATTACAGTTAGTGTTGTCCTACTTTGACGTAACGGCACTCATTTTCTATAGTTGACGTCATCTCTACAGTGTGTCTTTATGCAGGAGCATTGACTCGAGGTCATCAAAATCTAAAGATACGTGTTTGGTTAGCTGTGGACAATTCTAATGTAGTTGCACGCACAAAGTTCCAGATCTGAACTTTGGTCTTCTGTCTGTAAATAGTTGACACATTGCACCCGTCCTTTATCAGTCACTGTCCAGCAGAGCTGGTGTCTTCCAGACCAGTGAAATATGAGCATACTTCTCTAGATCTCATGTAACATGTTCGATGGGCACTATTATCAATGTTATTTGTTCCTGGAATGAGCTCGCTATGAATTGAGTTTTGTTCCTTTCAAAGTCTGACCATGTGCTCTACTAGCGTTGTGAACAGACCTCTAACCACTTGCCAGCTTTTGCAGAGACAGAGACCGAGAGATTGCAGTCAGTTTTCTGGAGGTCTTTTGTGTCCGGTGCATCCCCAACCTTTTCTATTACATCGAGCCATCTCATTTATCATTTTCACTCTCATTTCATGAACATCGTTCAGTAAAAAAAATGACACCAAAGAAATCTTTTACAAGAGCGTATTTCACTGACTTAACAAAACAAGTGAGGTCGATGTGAAATATGTGATGTATATGAACGGACGTTAGTGTTAAGTGGAATAATACAGGCCTCAGAAAGAAGCCGGCTGTGTGGATGCGTAATAGGAATATTAAACATAGACGATGATTAAAGAGTAGGCGTGCAAGTTAGTTGAATATGTTTTTTGTAGTAGTTTGGAAGAGGTCAAATGATCACTTCCTTTTGAAATGTGTTTAGCCGTAACTGAAAAGTGTGTGTGCGTTGTTACTCCACATTTAAGAGTTTCAATAAATGTGACATGAACTATATTGCCAATTTCCCGGTTATTGAAAACCTTTTTGAAAATGAATTCAAGTGTGAACTTATTTCAGTTCAGCAAAAATATGTTTTGATATGAAAAATATGAGCAACTAATTGTTTTCAATATACATTCTTTTAACATTGAATTTAATTGATTGTCATTGATTTCCTGTTGAAGCTATTTCATTGGGTACAAATTGGATGTCTGGATCGGTGCACCTTGACTAGCCGTTTTGAGGGCTGTCTACTCATCAAAACATATTTTTATTAATAACTACAAACTACAAACGTTGCCTTTGAGATCAGGTTCCATCCTCCGCCCTTTTAGGCCCCTAGTAGCTTAAATAGTGAGTGTGGCTCAACTCCTCCCCCAGGCCTGGCTGGACCACCATTCCCGAACTCTGGGCCTGTTCATCGATGGCAAGTTTGTTCTACCGGCCGACAGACGGAGTCGCTGCTTCGTTGATTCTAAAGGTAAAAGCAGCGTATGATGCAAGAAGACCTCCTACAATTATTATTATTTTTTATTTGCACATGTGTTTTCCACCGCTCCCCAGGGGGCACCGTGTGCAGCACGGCGTGCGCCGCGGAGGACGACGTTTCCCAGTGTGCCGCCTCGGCCGTTAAGGGCCACAAGGCCTGGGGGGACCTGAGCTGCTACCAGCGGGCCAAAGTGCTGCTCGGGTAGGACAACCGCACCTCGACACTCCTCCGAGAACCTCAGAGGCCACCTGACTTAACGGCCCGCCCCCCCCCCCCCCCCCCTCGCTGACAGGTCGGCGAGCGCTCTGGGGCGGCACGGCCCGTGCGTGGCGGAGCTGTGCGAGCTGTGCGAGGCCTCCTGCCCGCCATCCAGCCTCGTCCGACTGCTGCAGTACTACAGCAGCTGGGCGCAGCTCAGAGACACCCTCATCGCCAACTGGACGCCACTCGGTGAGGTCGACGCAAGATTCCGCGTAAAGTGTTCGCCTTCGGTAGACCAACCCTTTGGCTTTCCTTCTTTCGTAGGTGTGGTGGCAGTGGTCTCCTCTGATGACTGCTCTCTCTATTCCCTCATGCTCAAAGTCCTACCAGCACTGGCCATGGGTAACACAACCACACACAACCACACACAACCACGCACAACCACACACAAGCCCTGTATTCATTAGATCAGGGGTGCCCACACTTTTACGGCTCGCAAGCTACTTTTCAACTAACCAGGTCATGGCGATGCCGGCCGACGGGGGGCGACTGGGTTGCTTTGGAAGGAAATTAAATCCGTCCGTTAGTAAGCAAGAATTGCTAAACCCCATTACCGTTAGTTTCGGTCATCTCCCGCGGTAGACCGTGCATGTGGGATGTGACGTCATTTTTTTATCGATGGCACGCGATCGACTGGTACTGCCTTTGAGATCGACTGGTTGATGGCGATCGACGTATTGAGCAACCCTGCATTAGATACACGTCAAAAAGTTACCGTACAACTTCTAAGGCTGCGCCTATAACATGGTTGTTTTCTCCTTTGAGCTACTGATACTGATTTTCACTTCAATATCTAAGTCACGTCCCTCTGTGGGAAAAGCACAATCGTGGGTAAAAGAAGAGAAAGTGTGGAGAGTGTGAAGAGAAAGATATGTCTTTTGTGCATTGTGTGAGGATATAAATCATACAACCACAAAAAAGCAGATTTCGTTTTACAAAAATTGGAAAGCAATAGAATCAATGTATGCACCGTTATGTGAGGATTTTGTTTGATGCAAACGGTTTATTTGGTTGAGTACCTAGACATTAAATATCTAGATATTAGATATAAAATGTTTTGTTGCAATATCACAATTTTAAGTGAGAATCCTTCTTCTGACAGAAGCGTTTGCCGCGCATGATGCGTTTAAAGACCGCCGGAAAGTATCTTCCTGCTCTGTCAAACTGTAGTTTTGTTTGGAGCCAATTCTGTTGCGTAATTGGCGTGTGGTTGCAGCTCTGATCAAACCCTGTCGTCCTTCTAGGCAACTCCCTCATCGTTGTCCCCGGTCGGAGCAGCGCCCCCCCAGTGCTCCTGTTGGCACAGCTTTTCACGGGAGCAGGACTTCCTGCCGGGGCTCTCAATGTCCTAACAGGAAGTGACATGCAGTTGGGTGCCAAAGTGGCCCAGAGCGCCAACGTCAGCTACGTCAGCTACAGCGGCAACAAGCCGGTACGTGTGGGGGAAACGGGCAGCCCATCTATCCATGTGTTGCAAAGCTTGGTGGTCCCACCATCCTCTCCTCCTCTTTCAGGACGCCGTGTTGCTGTGCAGGGCCACGGCGGGGATGGGCGTGCCCGTCTCCGTCTCCCAGAACGTCGGCGCCAGGTGTCCCTTCATCATCTTCGAGTCCGCAGACATCGACAGCGCAGTGGACGCGGTGATAGAGGCGGCCTTCAAGAAGAAAAGAGAGGTGATTCACGCTGAAGACTATGAAGGGGGGGAATTGTATGCAATTCTATGCAATAGAGAATTGTACATAGTCTCTATATTTCTATTAAACCGTTCGGTCCGCTCTCTTCAGAGTTACCGGACTCCGTTGGCCAAAGCAGTCGCTTCCTTCGTGACCGGAGTACAACATCTTTCCCTTCCTCTCAGGTCCACTGGGTGTTGTGCGTGCAGGAGAGTGTGCTGGACAGCGTCGTGGCCCGCCTGGGCCACCGCATGGCGGGGATGAAGTGTGTGGCCCTGCAGAGCGTCGGGGACCGGGGCCTGGTGGACGCCGCGGTGCAGGGCGCCCAGCAGCAGGGGGCCACGGTGGGTCAGATGCACTAATGTCACACTAGGGTCACACTAAGACTAATATTTAGACAGTTGAAACTTGAATTCTTAATATTAATGGTGTTAATTAGTATTAAGAAATTAATATTTTTATTTGTCTCGACCAAAAAGTCCAAAAATGAAGGAGTTTAAAAACAACAGTCAGCTGTTTTTCTGACTCTTACTCTCTCTCTCTCTCTCCCTCTCTGGCTCTTCAGCTGGTTCAGTCATGTGCGGCCCCCCCGTCAAGTGCTCAGTATCCTCCCACGGTGCTGTGTGGGGCGGCCCCCTCCTCTCCATTTGTGGTTGAGCCCTCTCCCGGACCACTGCTGCCTCTCATGACCTTCAGAAGCAACACAGAAGCTGTGGCTCTCGGTAAGGAAGCCTCATGGGATGTAGATGTTTATTCATATATATATATATATATATGTATATATATATGAATATAGCACTTGTATTTGACCTTTGAACCTCGGTCACGGCCTCCTCACTACATAGGGAACCACAGTCCTCACGGCCAGGCAGCCTCCATCTGGACTGAAGACCTCACATTGGCTCTGGAGACGGCCAAGAGGTACACATTTTTCCCCTTTCTCTTCCACCTTCCATCCCCTTTCTTGTGTGTACATTCTTACATTTTCTCTCATATTGTCAACCGGCAGTATAAACATACCTAATTACAATAATTGTTACGCAGCTTAAATACCTGAATGTCCATTTATTATGTAGTTACTTTACTACTTGTTTCCCTTCACTCGTCCTGTCCGTGAGACTTTTGACTCCCTCCTGATGTTCTCTCCCTCCTCTCAGCCTGTCAGTAGGCTCAGTGTGGGTGAATTCCCACTCGGTGTCGGACCCCTGTCTGCCCGTCTCCGGTCACAAAGACGGCAGCACCTGCACTGACGGAGGACAGCAGGTATTCAGTTATGACTGCATTATTTAATCACCAACCACGACCGGGAACAGACGTAACGACCTCCTCTGCGCTATCTGCCAGGGTCTGTACCAGTTTCTACGCCCGTCCTCTTCTTCGCACCCTCCTCTTCCTCGCTCCTCCCCTGTCTCCATGGACTATTCAAAGTTTGGAACAGCAGCATCCCCACCTATCATTCCAGAGGACTCAGACCCGGCCGGGTGAGCTCTTCTCTTCCTTATTTTAGTTCCTGTTTATACGGTGTCACATGGCAACATGTTGTATTATTGCTGTCGGGGCTGAACCAAATGTTTTTTTTGTGTTATATATCCCCCCTAAAAAATAAAAAATAATTATTTTGTGCTACAAGCACTACAAGAGCAAACCTTAGTGAAAATGCTTTTAAAAACTAAACACATAACAACAAATAATGATTGAAGCAGAAAACTTATTATTCATTATTCAATGCTCTTGAGTCATTGGAAGTGTTTGGATCACTACTGGAATCTTGTTTTAATCTCTTATCCTATGCAGAAATTCTGGGTTAAAACAGAATAAAGAAAATTAAATAATTCAAATAAAATACAATAATACATGCTGGGTTGCATTTCCATCCACATGCATCACTCAATCGCCTCCCCCGCCCCCCTCAGCGCTCCGAAGGTCTACCTGCAGCTTGTTGGCGGTAAGCTGTGTAAGTCGGTGTCTGGCTGCAGTATAGCTGTGCAGTCACCAGGGGGCGGAGGGGTGTTGGCCCACTGTCCCGACGGAGGCCCAAAAGATGTCCGGAACGCCGTGGAGGCTGCTGACAAAGTCCAGCCTGGGTGAGAGCTTCACCACACAGAGATGCAGACACTATTTCCAGACATTTGTCCACCATACTAAATAAACAGGGCACATTTTCCATCGTTTGCCGAGGGTGAAACACACTTCCTTTCTGCGGGAAAATGTAAATGTGTTTCGGGGACAATCATGAAACTTGTGCTATTTTCATAAACGTTTTTATTTCCAGCTTTGAGATGCTAGCATGGCTGCCCTCCAGAGACATGGCAATTTATTTAACAACCCAGTAGGCTGCGTGACAAGCAAACGATGATTAGATTAGATTCAACTTTATTGTCATTGCACAGGGTACAAGTACTGAGGCAACGAAATGCAGAAATATAATAAATGTCAGTATACGTAAACCAGTACAGCACAGCATCATCTCAGTATGTACATCTTAACCACCTTTCACAGTTTGTTTCTTAACCGAAATAGCGAAGATGTATCATTTTATTTATTTTAACGTCCTCCCACTCTCCTAGCTGGATGAAAAAGAGTCCGTCTGCACGCGCTCAGTCCCTCTACTCTCTGGCCAAGGGCCTGGAGGCCAAGAGGCGGGACTTGGCTGCATCAATCAATGTACAGACCGGCCTCTCAATGGACAAGGCTGATGAGGAGGTGGAGCTCAGCATCGCCAGACTCAGCGATTGGGCGGCTTACTGTGACAAAGTCCAAGGAGGAACTCCGGTGACGCTTATTTATACTATTCAAAGTTCACAGGATAATCTCCTCTAATGATGATCAATTTTTCATTTTCTGACCGCATTATTAATAAAGTGCATTTATTGCTTGTTGTGTTCCTCTCCTGCAGAGCCTGCCACAGTCTGGCTCTGCTCTCTCCTTCCCAGAGGCCCTTGGAGTCGTGGGGATCGTTCTCCCAGACAACAGTCCCCTTCTCTCCATGGTGACGCTTCTCGGAGCAGCCGTCGGCAATGGCAACGCTGTCGTCATGGTCCCCAGTGAGGAGAATCCACTACCAGCCCTGGCATTCATTCAGGCAAGTAATAAGGTGGATCGCAAGTTAGTCAAAGTTAAATTAGTTAAAAATGTAATCCTGACTATATATAGTATTTCAGTTATTGTGGATTATTGTTTTATTACTGCTTACCTACGTACTGGTTTGATCTGTTTGCACTTTGACCTTTGCGGCTGTAAATCCTATAAATGACTAATAAAGGATTATCATCTCGGGTCAGACTCGCTCATAGTGTCTAACTTCAGAGGTTTCGACAGAAGTTCGGTTAAAGTGGACGATTTTAGAGTGAGAGAGAACTATTGGGAAAACACAGTGTGTTCTCAGTGTGGGAACATTTATTTGACAGAAATGTCTCGCACTAACATTACTAACATAACACTAACTTTAACATCTGTTGTCCTCAATAAATAGAAAGTAGAATATAGTGTTGCATTGAGGCATGTTGTTAAATTGTTACATCAATCTATTTTCAACTGAGTCGGAAAAACATCAAATCCCGTTTTACAAATGGCATCCACCAACAATTCTGGTTGTAACCGGTAGCAACAATGTTATCTTCATTTCCCCCGTCTCTCCTCTTATTCTGCAACTTTGGTGAAGTATTTGGTTAACAGCATTCAAATGAATGCAGCAGTGATCTCCTCTCAGAACGCCTGTTTATGGATCCGTAAACACGGATTTTCCTCCTCAGGTGCTTCAGTCTTCAGACCTGCCAGCAGGATTGGTAAACATCATTTCGGGAAGAAGGGATCAGATGACGGTGGCTCTGGCTAATCACAGCGTCATTAAGGCCATCTGGTACTGGGGCAGTGCTGAGGTGAGGGCTGAGCACCAACACCTACACCAGTGTTCAAATTTACATTCAGAGAAAAGGGGCGTGTGCCGTCCATGTGCGACCGTCTTCAGCCCCGCTCTCTGCCTCCTCGCCAACAGGGCTGCCAGTACCTCCAGCACGCCTGCACCAGCCCCATGAAAACCCTGCGCCTGTCCTGTCCAAAGGAGGATGGAGGGCAGGACTGGACTCATGCCTCCATCCTGGAGGACATGTGGAGAAGTGCCGTCCAGTGGAAGAGTGTCTGGATTCCAACTGCATAAAGAGACGGGAGGGAGAATGAAGGAGGAAGGTGGCGGGCTGTTTTGGAGAGCTTCAGTGCGGAGAAAATGACCTTCTACCTCCATCTTCTATTCTCTCATTAGCCATTGAACATCTGCTTAGTTTATCTAACTATCCAGATGTGTCATGATGATGACTTCTCTGTTTCGGTCCTACAAAAATAAATCCCTCCCAAACCATTTTTTCACCTGTTTTCACACATTGGGTACAGAAAAAGAGCAACATAGAACGAAGCCCTGGCAAAAAAATGAGACGGGAAAATACATTTTCAGCTTCTTCTCTAGAAATGTAAACAAATTCATTCTTTTTTTACAATCTACAACCTAAAACCACATCGGCCTTGGAATTCTGTCAATGACTGAACAAAAAGACGCTGAGTCTGAATCTACTGGTCATGTGTACAGTACGATGTACCTTTGTCACTTCAATCATACTGTGACCTTTTTTCTGTGGAAGCACACTTGGTGCAAACATTCCCTCTGAAAACTGGTTTCCATGTCAAAGGTCACACTGTTTGTATTTCCAGGGAAAGGCTCTGTGGTGTCTCACTGTATAAAAACATGATTAAATATTCACTTTTTCTATCTGGGGATTTATACCCGTATCTTTTAGTAGTTTGCAGTATAATGGATCCAAAATACAAAGAAGCCTAACTTGCTGTTGAGAGTTTTCACTGGTCGAGTCCAGCAGACGAACGTCAGCAACATCGTCCCCTCGGTCAGGTCTCGACTCGGTTCCTTTATTTCTCTCACTTTCTTGTTCCTCAATTTTCTCAAACTGGTTTCAACCAGTTGTGCTCTGAGGTGAAGTTTCCGTTGGACGCTCCTTTTGGTCACAGGACTCTTCCCTCGAGTCCGTGGAATGCTGAGTCACAACAATGACACAGCAAAAACCCCAAACCTGACACCACTGTTGTGCAAGGTCGACAGACGTGACACAGCGCAAAAAGAGGACGGGTGCTTTGTGAAACGCTGACTCGCCTTATTCCAAGCATGAGAATGTGGGATTTGTCTATATGTCTGGGCCACAAGTTACGCTGCTTTTTATTACACCCGATCTGATATAATTAACCTCTGCCCTGTTTCTAGCCCGTCTCCCTCTAACATTTCTCCTTGAGATAGGACCTATCTGTGTTTATGCTATTATTTATTTTAGTGGTAGTCATCGCCAGTCATTATGGCGACCGTTTGCCAAATGAGACAAGAGGCTTAAAGTAAGCAAGACCTGACACGATCATACGTCAGCACTGCAAACATTCTTTCTATAGTTTAAGCTGATGCATAACTGCTCCCAAAACCAATCTGCACGGTGAAGTAATCTTCACCAGCCACATTAAAACGGAGATTTAAAGATCAGACGTAATTGTTGGGACCCTTAATGGTTAAGTGGAAAAACTTTGTCGCTGTTTCACTTTATTACAGATGATGTCTTGAACTATATCCACAAGCACTCAAGTGTACATGAGGACAAACCTCAACCCAAAATCAAAATTTGAAACTCATTTTAGCACCATGTTTGCTACAGACGCTGACCAATAACAATGAAGAGACGTTTTTAAATTCAGTTAAGGGAAAGACATTGTTTTATTTAAGCTCGTCATCCAATCTGCCCTTTGTAGGGAGACTTAATCTCGTGACTTACTTTCACATTACAGAAATATGAGCATGCAGGGGCGTCGTTAGGCCTATTTTATGGGGGCTGAAGCCCCCCTAAAATGTTCTTCTATATAATAATAATAATTAAACTATTGTTTCCCACACGGACAAGTTATTTATAACTCTAACATGCTACATATGTATAGTACATATGTACATATATGCGTTCTGGTTTGTATGTTTACTCCCTCTTCAAATTATAATCCAATAGCCTTTCATCATACTTTACGATACAAACCCCGGGCACTAGTGCCGTCTCTCGTCAACGACAGCCAGTATTATAGCCAAGGAGTTCAAAGTAAATGATGCACGGAGTGAAATTGTAAGTACAAGAAGTTACAGAACGTGTCTATCTGTAGTTGTTAACCAGTGTTACCTGCTTTAGGTTCACTTGATATGAGGCAAATGAAAGCGAATATTGTAGTGGGCTATGTTAAAACTAAGCTAGCTTGCTACTTTGTTAGAAACTGTCCCCAGTTAGTTAGTTAAGAGTGTGAACGAGCGAATTCGAAATACAAGAAATAACTTCCGACATCTCTCTATTCTTTGCATTGATATATCTCTCTAGTATTCCAAAACAATATTATCAGTCCCTATAGAATGTTGTTATTTATAATCAGTTAATGCTAGTGAAAACTAAATGTCCTAGTGTCCCTCATAACGCTATTGTGCCGGTATATCATCCAATTCATTGACCAGATGGATATAAGAACATTCTTTAGGAGAGGTGGCAGCTCCGCCCCGTCAGATGACAGAGAGAATCAGGAGATTGACAGGGCTGAAGGAGGCGGTGTTATGGAGGTTAGTGGTCTACAGGTCTAGAAGGAATTGAGTGGAGTTTTTTTTTTTTTTTTTTTTCTACTGTGGTAGAAATGTATAGGCATTTGTTGTCGGGCCTAGGCTACTCCAAGGCATAGCCTAAACTGGATTATTTTTTTATTTTTTTTATGCCAAGTCATAAAATTGGCTTCTGGATTTCGATCAGTTAATGTTTCAATGTTTGAACTTATCTTAAAGGCTCATGCAGAAGGAGTGGCTGAGGCAGAAAAGGGAAGCTGCTCTAGTCAGAGAGAGGAAGAGACCAAGCAGCTGCAGCAACTAATGATTTAGGTGAAAAAGACACAGGGCCCAGACAGGTTAAGCTGAGGAGTTACCCACAGGACAGCTTTGGTGCTCAGAACAGGTCATTTCACCACAGCTGGTTTGAGAAGCACAGTTGGTTGGAATATTCAGTCAACCATAATGCAGCTTTCTGCTTCCCATGTAGATTGTTTGGCAAAAACATCAAACATGCTTTGGTCAGTAGTGGTTGCAAGAACTGGAAGAAAGCATTGTTTATCTTTGGCAAGCACGAGATGGCACAGACACATAGGGACAGTGTTGTTGCATGGCAAAGCTACCAGGCAACTAGCCGATAGGGAAAACGTTGCACAGATGATAGCATCTGCACATGCAAGTGAGATAGTAGAGAGAAGGGAGTATCTTAGGCGAATTGTTGCAGTCACCTCCATGTTAGGGCGACAGGGACTCCCTTTTTGTGGCAGTGATGAAGGCCAAGACAGCACAAACAGAGGCAACTTTCTTGCTTGCATGGAACTTTTGAAGGAGTTTGATTCTTTCCTCCAAAAATATAACCATCCCTCAAATGCTACCTTTATCTCACCAACATCTCAGAATGAGATGATTGAGTGTTGTGCTCAAGAAGTAAACAGTGTCATTGTATCTGAGATGACAAAGTCCAAAATGTATGCCATTATGGCAGATGAGGCAAGGGATGCACGGTCAGAGCAGCTGGCTGTTTGTGTTGGGTACGTGTCAGAGGGGGCAGTGAAGGAACGTTTTCTAGCACTTACAGAGATCATGTCGTTTGATGCCCAGTCCATTGCAAACGAGCTGCAGCAGCAGATCCAGAACAGTTGTCTTGCAGAGCTTAAGAGTGTAGCACAGACGTGTGATGGTGCAGCTGTTATGAGTGGGTCCACTGGAGGTGTGCAGGTACATTTTAGAAGGCTCCATCCTGAGGCTATATGTGCATTGTTATGCTCATGAGCTAAACCTGGTGTTGTGCCATACTTGCAGGGCTGTTTCAGAGGCTGTGGAGCTTTTCAACTTGTTGGAGTGTGTGTATTCTTTTTTCAGCACCTCCCTAGTTAATCATCACAAGTTCCAAGAGGCTCAGTCCAAGCTTGGCTTGACAGCAGTTGAGCTCGAAACTTTCAAACACTCGCTGGGCATGCCAGCTACGATCAATCAATGCAATTCTTGAGACATTACCTGCCATTTTTGAGTGTCTCTCTGCCATTGGATCCCCCATAGCTGTTGGTCTCAGAGCGAAGCTCTACAAGTTCTCAACAGTCTATTCACTTCTGATGTTTCAGACACAAGTTCCTTCAGAAAGAGACTTTAGACCTGGCAGAAGCTTTTATCAGCAAACAAGCTGTATGTGACACACTGAGGGACAGATGTATTTGCCACAGAGCTGTATGAGAGAACCAAGTCCCTGTGCCACACCCACAGTATCCCAGAACCAGATGCTAAGAAATGGCGTAAACAGAGAAAAATTGAGGATTTTGTGTTGGAATCAACCTTGGGTTCAGGCACAGAGTTGATCAGCTCACACACCTTGATAACAGAGTTGCTTTCCCCCTGTGTGGACCGGATGGTTAGTGAGCTTGAACAACGCTTTTCTAGTGTAGATGCAGGCCTGCTAAAAGGCATCCAGGCATGCAGCCCTAAATCTCAGAACTTCTTAAGTGAATCACATTTGGATGCGCTTGCCAAGCACTACAGCATTAATCTGAAAAAAGAGGAGGTTCTGGTGGCCAGAAACTTCCCTGCCCGCAAAACAGAGGCTGGATGTCCACCCCGAGATAGGCTAGCTGTGCACAACCTCCTAGACTCCGACATGTTTCCTTCTCTGAAGGCAACCTTTTAAGTTGGCTTAACAGTGCCTGTGAGCAGCTGCTCATGTGAGAGGTCCTTTGGTGCACTGTGTCGGCTGCACTCGACTGGCTGCGTAAGACAACGGGGCAGAAAAGGCTTCACAGTCTTGCAGCCATGTCAATTGAAAGTGACATTCTAGGGTACTGAGTCACAGCACACTGATAGACCGATTTGCCACAATCAAAAACAGAAGGCCTTCTTTGATGCTTCCACCCACTAAATAATCATTTTCCTGTCATTCCATACAACCCTCTCCCAATTGTCTGAAATCTCCTGTTTTTTTTATAATTTGAATGTATTGTGTGTATTGTGTATTTTTTTTATCTCCCTCTAATGCTATCCTGGATCTAGTCCTATAGTGTTTTTCTCTGTACATTGCAATTCTTTAAAATAAAAGCAGAGAAAATTATTTCTCTCTTTATTTGAGAAAAGTTCATATTTGTGTTGTCAAATTTCACTATGACCCTGACATTCTGTCTCTTGTGTTATCATATACTGAATGCAAGCAAAACTACAGAGCAAAATCACACTATTTCTGATTAAAACAATCTATGAACTGTCTCAAACAATGGATATCCGCGGCCCCAAATGGGCCTTAAAAAAAATAATTGCCGCACGCAAACACGTCACTCCCCTTGGGGCTAAGCCCCCCCTTTCTTTGAATCCTAGAAACGCCCCATGTGAGGATGCATGTGAAAAGGTTGCACGACAACAGGGATGAGTCTCTTCCACAAGCAGGAGTTTCATCATTATTCTTTTCTTTTAAATCACAAAAGATATATTTTAAGAAAGCTGAGACCTGTCAGGCTTTTCCTACTCTGTCGTGTCTGGTAACAGCTGTGGTAATTCAGTAACACCAGAACAATCACATCGATTGAAAACACTATCAGCAGTTACACTTGTCTTTGTGTTTTATGAGGAAAAGCGAGTTGGGCAGAATCGGCCCAAAGTTAAGGATAGGAAGTTATTTTGTCCTTATGATGGTTGTCGTTTGTGCCTATAGCTTCACTTATTTTGAAATAGAAATGGAAATAGTTTGAAAAACAATTGCTATTCTGTATTGTTTGTAACAATAAATTGGTGTTTTTGAGATCACAGAAGTGCTTCGTCATTGTGCGTAAATAAGTCAACGCAAACCTGTATTTCCACAAATGAAAAAGCGGCAGGTAAGCAGCTGTCAGGTGCTCAACAGCCCATTGGCGGAAATGCGTAGAACGACGTAACTTAACACGGGTCACGCGCTCTGCCGCTCGGGTATAAAGAGAGCGCGCGGCCACTGCCATTTCACACCGGGGAAGAAAAGCCAGCCGGAGTTCTTGCTTCAACAGTGTTTGAACGGAACTTTTTCGCCGTTAAGCTCTATTTTTGTACCGTTTTCTTAAGAAACAAAACAAAACCTCATCAGCTAAAATGGAGTCTCAGGTCCGTCAGAACTACCACCGCGACTCCGAGGCCGCCATCAACCGAATGGTGAACATTGAGCTGTCCGCCTCCTACACCTACACCTCCATGGTGAGCAGCGCGCCGAGAGGGCTTCTTCTCCTCCTAAGAAATGTAGCAAAGTATCTGCATCTGTTGGTTTTGTCTTCATGTAAAAAGAGAAATGAGTTGACTTAAATACAACTTGTATCATACATTTTTTTTTCCTAGGTAACGTTAATGCAATATTTCGATGGTGCCCCCCCCCATCGTCCCGTTTTTATTTTCTTAATGATTGGGGCCGTCTGCTAATAACCGTTTGACCTCCTGTCACCTCACAGGCCTTTTACTTCTCCCGTGACGATGTGGCCCTTAAAGGCTTCGCTCACTTCTTCAAGGAGAACAGCGACGAGGAGAAGGAGCACGCTGAGAAGCTGCTGTCCTTCCAGAACAAGCGGGGAGGACGCATCTTCCTGCAGGACGTCAAGGTCTGTACAGCCAGGAGGACGCATCTCCCGCATGTGGCAGCGTTTTCTAGGAACCGTTGACCCTTATTTGGTTTAATGTAATGACCGTTCAGTCTTCTGTAACTGACTTTTTTTTCCTCTGCAGAAACCAGAACGTGATGAGTGGGGAAGCGGACTGGAGGCCATGCAGTGTGCCCTGCAGCTGGAGAAGAAGGTCAACCAGGCCCTTTTGGACCTGCACAAACTAGCGTCTGAGCATGGAGACCCTCATGTAAGTGACTCTGCGCCACAGAGGGTACCGACAAAACCACTCAAGTACATTAATATTATTATTTTTTTTTTTCAGTGCTTGAAATTGACTCTAATCTTGTTTGTCAGATGTGCGACTTCCTGGAGACTCACTACCTGAACGAGCAGGTGGAGGCCATCAAGAAGCTAGGCGACCACATCACCAACCTCACCCGCATGGACGCCAACAAAAACAAGATGGCAGAGTACCTGTTCGACAAGCACACCCTGGAGGGAAAGGCATAAACGTGCAAAGTCGCAGGGTTGAACCAGGAGGGAAACGCGCCCTTCTGCTGAGCGTTCATTTCATTCAAAATCTAATATCTAAATGGAGTTGACTAGTTCTCGTATGTTCAGGTGGTTTCTTAATGTAATATACGGGTGGCGATGTATAAGGTGATGACTTTCCCCTCATTACCTATAAATCTCCTCGTATGGCATTAAAGGATCTGATGACTGGATGTGTTAATCTGAATAAACTTTTTGAGCCTGACTTGTGTCTGATCTAAATATACTCATTTCAAGTATGTGGAAGAAAGCCATTATATAGCATGTTAAAAAAAGTTATAGTATGTCTGAAAATAAATATAATAATACAAATACGTTTATGTCTTTACTTAGTGACGGATTATCTCGAGATAAATACATAATGATGATTAAAATACATGTTTAATTAATGTCCCTTCATAGCTTACTTAAAAAAAAGTGAGAAAATATAATCAAGGCTTAAAATAAGGCGGAACACCATTATACACATATAATATTTATACACAGACGCTGAGGATCCTTAAATATCAGTTTCACTTCCGGGACAACGCAGCCCAGATGTGACGTCACCAGGCGGAAATTAAACATGGCCGACAACAAGTCGCAAACGGCCGAAGTTAGCGCAACTCGTGTGTTAACCCGGAGAACCTCTTAGACGTTGCTGCAGATATTCTGACTTTGCGGTACACCTCTCTACCTTTGGGCTCGTCTCCCACATGAATTGGAGGTTCAAGTTGAGTTTGTTCGTCTGTAACGGACTCACTATATCGGACATTAGCCCGCCGCGTTAGCCGCGTTAGCCGGCGGAGCAGCGGCTGAATTTGTTTTTGTCCGGAGGGTGTGATCTGATATCGAGCAGCCTTTTTACTCCCCTTTGGACCGTAACATTTCATCTGGACTGCGTCTGTTTGTATCGCGGGTGGGATCCAGCCCGTCGTGTTGAGCAGCGTCGTTCATTCAAGGCCAACTTGGCAACAAAGCCGCGCTCCGCGGAGATCGGACACGCACTCGACTCGAGCCGCCGCACCGAGCAACATGGATCCAAAGCGCGCGCGCTGCAAAGCCCAGACGAGCGGCAGCAGCAGCGACTCCCAATCCCCCCCAAACCATCATTTCACCTGCTTTCACACATTGGGTACAGAAAAAGAGCAACATAGAACGAAGCCCTGGCAAAAAAATCAGACGGAAAAATACATTTTCACCTTCTTCTCTAGAAATGCAAACAAATTCATTCTTTTTTTACAATCTACAATCTAAAACCACATCGGCCATTGTTAGGGATTTAAGCCAAAAGTGCACCCCTGGTCATGGAAGTTATAGTATGTGTAATAATGTTTAGTGTTAGAATTATAGTTTGTGTGTTATTAGATATTAGTTTAACATTAACATATTAGATGAAGTGAATGCAATTTGAATCAAACACAATTCATAGTCATTAAAATAATATAAACACTGTACACATTGACATTCTGTCACAATGTGATGTTAAAACCTGGGGACGGATCCTAATTGCCGTCCTTTATAGATTTCTCCCAATTTTATCCCCAAAGAGTTTTTTTGGGGAGTTTTTTCTCCTGTCAGGTAGTAAATGAACAACTTAATGCAAGGCAGCCGACTGAGGCAAATGTCTTGAGAACTGGACCACATGAACGCTCTTCGATCTTATGATGAAGTGTGATGAGCGGTGATCATTAATGAATTGTTGTAATTAAAGTGTACTAGTTATAAGATGAAGACTTAAACTATGTATGCTTTGTTATATTCACTCATTGAGGCATAAAGCCAACTGTATCTACATTGAGTGCATTGGAATGTGAGGGACAGATAGTACAGTGAGGTTTCAGGTTGCAGCTGCAGCTTCACACCTCGACGTGAAGGGGACAATGAAAGAGGGGACACTTTGAAGAAGAAGTCAATGACATTCAAATGCACCAAAGAAGACACACCTCAGGAGTTTTCAAAGGACCAAAGCGGAGAAGGAACTGTTAAAATTTTCCTGAAGCCGCTTTGATAAGTCACTTTAGACTTGCTCAGAGGATTCTCTATTTTGCGAAATATTTACTGTTCGTTTTGTGTTTCACTTGTTGTATTGTATTCCCTATAACGTTGTTTAGTTATTAAATACTTTTGGATTTTTTAATTTACGCAAGCTGACTCTTTTGTATCTTCGTTTCCGGCCGGGACGAGAACAAAGGAGTGAGGCCTCCCTCGAGAGCTTTCCGAACCCTAACACCTTGGAATTCTGTCAATGACTGAACAAAAAGGCGCTCAGTCTGAATCTACTGGTCATGTGTACAGTACGATGTACCTTTGTCACTTCAATCATACTGTGACCTTTTTTCTGTGGAAGCACACTTGGTGCAAACATTCCCTCTGAAAACTGGTTTCCATGTCAAAGGTCACACTGTTTGTATTTCCAGGGAAAGGCTCTGTGGTGTCTCACTGTATAAAAACATGATTAAATATTCACTTTTTCTATCTGGGAATTTATACCCGTGTCTTTTAGTAGTTTGCAGTATAATGGATCCAAAATACAAAGAAGCCTAACTTGCTGTTGAGAGTTTTCACTGGTCGAGTCCAGCAGACGAACTTCAGCGACATCGTCCCCTCGGTCAGGTCTCGACTCGGTTCCTTTTCTTCTCTCACTTTCTTGTTCCTTGATTTTCTCAAACTGGTTTCAGCCAGTTGAGCTCTGAGGTGAAGTTTCCGTCGGACGCTCCTTTTGGTCACAGGACTCTTCCCTCGAGTCTGTGGAATGCTGAGTCACAACAATGACACAGCAAAAAACCCAAACCTGACACCACTGTTGTGCAAGGTCGACAGACGTGACACAGCGCAAAAAGAGGGCGGGTGCTTTGTGAAACGCTGACTCGCCTTATTCCAAGACATTGTTTTATTTAAGATCGTCATCCAATCTGCCCTTTGTAGGGAGACTTAATCTCGTGACTTACTTTCACATTACAGAAATATAAGCATGCATGTGAAAAGGTTGCACGACAACAGCGATAAGTCTCTTCCACAAGCAGGAGTTTCATAATTATTCTTTTCTTTTAAATCACAAAAGATACATTTTAAGAAAGCTGAGACCTGTCAGGCTTTTCCTACTCTGTCGTGTCTGGTAACAGCTGTGGTAATTTAGTAACACCAGAACAATCACATCGATTGAAAACACTATCAGCAGTTACACTTGTCTTTTTGTTTTATGAGGAAAAGCGAGTTGGGCAGAATCGGCCCAAAGTTAAGGATAGGAAGTTATTTTGTCCTTATGATGGTTGTCGTTTGTGCCTAGCTTCACTTATTTTGAAATAGAAATGGAAATAGTTTGAACACAATTGCTATTCAAAATATGGCCTGACCAGGGTTCATATGTAGGATTATTCAGTTTGTGTGTTTTCTGTATTGTTTGTAACAATAAATTGGTGTTTTTGAGATCACAGAAGTGCTTCGTCATTGTGCGTCAACGCAAACCTGTATTTCCACAAATGAAAAAGCGGCAGGTAAGCAGCTGTCAGGTGCTCAACAGCCCATTGGCGGAAATGAAGAAAGAGTGACGTAACTTAACACGGGTCACGCGCTCTGCCGCTCGGGTATAAAGAGAGCGCGCGGCCACTGCCATTTCACACCAGGGAAGAAAAGCCAGCCGGAGTTCTTGCTTCAACAGTGTTTGAACGGAACTTCTGCCTTCGTCCCAAGAACTACTTCATCTACTCTGCATTCCGCGCTCCAGAGACCTTCACTACTTGAACACCACCGAGAAAGTCGCCGTTAAGCTCTATTTTTGTACCGTTTTCTTAAGAAAAAAACAAAACCTCACCAGCCAAAATGGAGTCTCAGGTCCGTCAGAACTACCACCGCGACTGCGAGGCCGCCATCAACCGGATGGTGAACATGGAGCTGTCCGCCTCCTACACCTACACCTCCATGGTGAGCAGCGCGCCGAGAGGGCTTCTTCTCCTCCTAAGAAATGTAGCAAAGTATCTGCATCTGTTGGTTTTGTCTTCATGTAAAAAGAGAAATTAGTTGACTTAAATACAACTTGTATCATACTTTTTTTTTTTTTTTTCCTAGGTAACGTTAATGCAATATTTCGATGGTGCCCCCCTCCTATCGTCCCGTTTTTATTTTCTTAATGATTGGGGCCGTCTGCTAATAACCGTTTGACCTCCTGTCACCTCACAGGCCTTTTACTTCTCCCGTGACGATGTGGCCCTTAAAGGCTTCGCTCACTTCTTCAAGGAGAACAGCGACGAGGAGAAGGAGCACGCTGAGAAGCTGCTGTGCTTCCAGAACAAGCGGGGAGGACGCATCTTCCTGCAGGACGTCAAGGTCTGTACAGCCAGGAGGACGCATCTCCCGCATGTGGCAGCGTTTTCTATGAACCGTTGTCCCTTATTTGGTTTAATGTAATGACTGTTCAGTCTGCTGTAACTGACTTTTTTTTTTTTTTCCTCTGCAGAAACCAGAACGTGATGAGTGGGGAAGCGGACTGGAGGCCATGCAGTGTGCCCTGCAGCTGGAGAAGAATGTCAACCAGGCCCTTTTGGACCTGCACAAACTAGCGTCTGAGCATGGAGACCCTCATGTAAGTGACTCTGCGCCACAGAGGGTACCGACAAAACCACTCGAGTGCATTTTTTTCAGTGCTTGAAATTGACTCTCTAATCTTGTTTGTCAGATGTGCGACTTCCTGGAGACTCACTACCTGAACGAGCAGGTGGAGGCCATCAAGAAGCTAGGCGACCACATCACCAACCTCACCCGCATGGACGCCAACAAAAACAAGATGGCGGAGTACCTGTTCGACAAGCACACCCTGGAGGGAAAGGCATAAACGTGCAAAGTCGCAGGGTTGAACCAGGAGGGAAACGCGCCCTTCTGCTGAGCGTTCATTTGATTAAACATTTCATTCTAATCTCTAAATGGAGTTGACTAGTTCTCGTTTGTTCAGGTGGTTTCTTAATGTAATATACGGGTGGCGATGTATAAGGTGATGACTTCCCCCTCATTACCTATAAATCTCCTCGTATGGCATTTAAGGATCTGATGACTATGTGTTAATCTGAATAAACCTTTTGAGCTGGACTTGTGTGTCTGATCTGCCTCTGTTACACAACCTTTTCATATTCACTTTAAAGCAGTAATGTTTACCCTCGCTCACACTAGTGCTAGTTCAGTACTTAATCTCTTTTTCTACATTCCCATGAACGACTACCCTTGCCAATTTTTTCTGGTGGTTTCGTTGTTCTACTTTTGAGTGCCTACGTTTTTCACATACCAGCCATTGTATAGTATTTCATAAAAATAAGTCATAATAAAGTATGATAAGAAAGGCACAAGTCAGACAAAGGTTTGTTAAAAGTTGAGTATAGTTTAAAATGTTATGAAAGCCATGTATGCCATATAATCAATGTATATCTTTAAAATGTCATAGTTGAGCATCTTAGAGAGGTCCTGAAAATCTCTTCAAATAAGAAAATGTCATAAAAAAATACATTTTATAGTACACCGTTAAGGGAGGCCATAAAAAATACAGTAATTCTTTTCATGTCATGACATATATATCACTGAAAAACGCAATAAAGAATGGGATATGAGGTCTCATAATATTTAAACATGAAGCCATAGTTTCAAAATCCTGTGTTATAATAGTAAGCCATAGTACAGTAGATAAAAGCACAATTGGGTCCAAGTATTGTAAGTCAAAAGTAAAAAAAAAAACCAGGTTATAGTTTGTCAAAGAAAAAAAAGAAAAGAAAATCATAGTATAGTATGTCCAAATTATATAGACAGACTCAAAGTGCTTCACGTAACATTTCATACAATAAAGTGAAATAAAATGCAGGAATTAAAAGACAATTAAAAACAGCAAATAAAATTATAAATTAAAATCTTATTTAAATTTTTTAATTAAAGGCAGAGGTTAAAAGTGCAATGTAGGTCAAATTTAGCAGAAGGCGAAGCTGAACATAAAGGTTTTCAGTCTTGTTTTAAACGTGGTCAGAGTTGGGGCAAGTCTTAAATCTTCAGGAAGTTTATTCCAGCTGTTTGTTGCGTAGTAACTAAATGATGCTTTCCCATGATTTGTATTTTCTCTGGGAATCACTAACAGATTGGTGTCAGAAGATCTTAGTGATCTTGAAGGCTTATGTAGTGGAAGCATATCAGTGATATACTTTGGCCCTAAACCATGTAGTGATTTATATGTGAGCAGTAGGATTTTGAAATTAATTCTCTGACATACTGGGAGCCAATGTAAGGATTTAAGAATTGGTGTAATGTGCTCACATCTTTTGGTCTTTGTTAGAACTCTAGCAGCAGCGTTCTGAACAAGCTGGAGCTGCCTGACAGTTTTTTTTGGAAGACTTGCAAGGAGACCATTACAATAGTCTAGCCTACTAGTCATAAAGGCATGTACAACTGTTTCTAAGTCTTGAGCTGACATGAGCCCTCGAAGTCGTGCTACATTTTTGAGGTGGTAGTAGGCCGATTTTGTTACTGATTTGATGTGACTCTCCAAGTGTAAATCTGAATCCGTAATAACCTCCAGATTTCTGGCTTTATTTGATGTTTTCAGGGACAGAGAGTGAAGGTGTTGGGTTACTTTAAACCTTTCTTTTTTAGCACCAAATACAATGATCTCAGTTTTGTCTACTAACAGCCACATGTGTGGGCCACAGGTCTTCTCTGAAATCCCTGGAGTTGTGTGAAGCTGACCGTGATTTTCTTTCCTGTGAACAAGTCGGACCCAGTGCAAAATCTAAGGAAACGGCAGAGATGCTGGGTGTCTGACTCTCTCAGGTATGCGCTTACATACTTGACTACTTGTTTTTCCTGGGCATTCTGGGTGATGGGGTAAGTGATTGATCTGGTGATCTTTCGTGATGTTGGGTGTAGCTCTTCATAGACTGCTGCAATCCCTTTCAGCTCTGATCTAACAGGTACAAGCATGTTGCTCCACTGTTCAATCACAAAAGCAGGCTCTTGAACCAGTTTTTGGTGAGCAAGCTCCTTCAAGATTTGCTCCATGCTCTGTGCTGTTGGAACCCTCCGGCAGTTGTGCATATCCAGGAACAATTCTTCAAGGTCCACACCTTCAAAATCAGAACGACAAGATTCGAAGATTGCCTGCTCAGACTCTGACACGTACTTGAAAAAGCATTCCACAAGATCGCTCTCCACAAAGCCGAAAACAGCTTTCTCCAGAAGAACAGGTTTGAGTTTCACAGGGAGGTACTTCTCTCTTTGCCAGCCAAATGCGATTATTCGTCCAACACTTTCCCATTCTTGTGTACCAAAATCATGGCGTAGGAATGACACTTTGAAGCCATTTCCAATGGTGCACTGCTCATAAAAGTCATTCCAAAATTCTGACAGTACATCCCTCAAAACACCACCATCATCGAAAGCCTTTTCCAGCTTTCCATCAGGAAGAATAACTTGAAAGCAAACGTTATCTTCCATGATACTTTCCTCAGAAAACACTAGTTCTCAGAGAATCTGTCCACGATGAAGAACAATAACTTTCTTCACTCTTTCTCCCTGACTGGCTTGGTCCTGACTGGCTTGGTCCATGGGAGGAAGCAACTCTGATGCAAATGATATGTCCTGAGAGAGAGCCACGGTGTCATCAAGAGAAGAGTACTCCATCCCAGACATGGCTTCTGTGTGGAAAGCTACTATGCCACTATCCTCTAAGCATCCACATGATGTAATGTGTTATGCTCTGGCAAGGTAGGTGCATCGGTATGGTTGACTGTGGTGTAAAGAAGGGACATACTTTCATCACTTGCATTTGCAAATTCTGTGCTGCTTCCAACATGAATTACATCAGAAACATTTATCTCCACATTGTCTGTTCCAGGAGTATTTGGAGAAGGACGGTAGAGATCAGATCTGTCATTTGTCTCTTCCCCTTTTTGCTCAGTGACATCACCGTTCTCTTCCTCAAGATGGATGTTATTGACAATGTCTTTCTTCTTCATTGTTAAATAGAAACGCAGGAGAGGAAACTTTGTTCCCCGACAGTGATACTATCATCCAATGAATGCTGCTGAAAGTCAGTTAAATCTATGTCAAAATCTGAACAGCTCCCCTCTGCATTTACTCCATCTGGAAAAAACAACAGGGTAGCCTTTTCAATCAAGTTCTGATTTTTACTGTTCTTTGCGACACTCTCTTTTCTGGTTCCTCCTCCCTTTTTGGCGTGCATCTGTAAAAATCCCCCTTTGCGGAAATTCATCCATCCTGTCTCAAATTTTCTCTGAGTTTTTGTGAGCATTCTTTGGAGTGGTTTGATGCTTTCTCTGAAATACATGATCATCTTTGTTTTGTGAGAGCTTTCCTCTCAGTCGCTCAAAGATCTTTGACTTGCGACTGCAGAAGCCAAACACAGCCAGACGATCACCATAGGATGGCAGGTGCTCTCTCAGCTGGTCATCTGTCATGAGGTGTATGACACTAATCTACAACGAAGGAATACTTTATTAATTCTATGCTCTGTGAAATAAATTGTAACAATGAATAACCTGCATTTGCGATACCAGATATTTATAAGGCTCTTCTTAACTTTAGTTTTTTTTAATGTTTAATCTAAATTTAAGCATTTCCTAGATCAGCTACCTTCTCGTGTTCCATTCGCTGTATGTCTTACTCAGGTACATGCCGTGACCTTAAGTAGTCACTTAGGTCCTCCATCTTGTGAAGGTTCAAACACCTCTGTTGAATAAAAGTTTACCTAAAATGTGATCTTAAATCAAACGTCTAAATACCACACTGTCACTTTTCCCTCTCCACAACACCTTTGTTCTTTGACTTTAATAGAAATGTTCAGTTACCAGCATAATCACGTCACCCCCCTTTGAGAAATACAGAAAACACATTGCTTATTACTAACAGTTTTAATTTCCGTGTATGAATCAACATCACTGACGTTTCCCGGGCCATAGAAAAAAAAAAGGACCGGAAAAAGCGTAAAATGACGAGTGTCCTGGTCATGCTAACATTAGCTTTCGCGTGCCGGGTCAACGCATTGCGTTGTAATGACATTCATGGGATATTTCAACACGTACCAAATATTGTTTAAAGCGCTACGTTGATGTTATTCTCCTTTGAGAAACACACAGAACACATCGCTGATTACTGACAGTTTTCATTTCCGTTTACAAACATTTAACGTTACGTCACCTCAGGGGAACATGGTTCATCAACGGCGAAAATATAGTGTAGCCAAAACTACATTAACTTCTATCTTGTAACGTGCTTAACGTTAACAGTGAACTGATTAAGATAACGTATGGTCATGTATAACATCTTACATTTAAAAAAAGTCACCCATAATAGTTACCTTATTGAGAGTTGGATAGCGTATACGTTGCAAAACCAGCGACGTTGTGACCGCGTCACGGAAGCTGCGCATGAGACTTTTTATCTCATAATTTCGACTTTTTAAATAATCATTTTGACTTCCTTAAATCCTAATTTCGACTTTCTTAAGTCATAATTTCGACTTTTTAAGTCATAATTTCGACTTTTTAAGTCATTATTTCGACTTTTTAAGTCATAATTTCGACTTTTTAAGTCATTATTTCGACTTTTTAAGTCATAATTTCGACTTTTTAAGTCATAATTTCGACTTTCTAACCCTATTTTTTTTGGTGGCGGAAATGGGCTTCCATATTTTCAGCTTCTTCTCTAGAAATGTAAACAAATTCATTCTTTTTTACAATCTAAAACCTATAACCACATCTGCCTTTGTTAGGGATTTAAACCAGAAGTGCAACCTTGTCATGGAAGTAATAGTATGTGTAATAATGTTTAGTGTTAGAATTATAGTTTGTGTGTTATTAGATATTAGTTATTACATTAACATATTAGATGAAGTGAATGCAATTTGAATCAAACACAATTCATAGTCATTAAAATAATATAAACACTGTACACATTAACATTCTGTCACAATGTGATGTTAAAACCTGGGGACAGATGCTAATTGCCGTCCTTTATGGATTTCTCCCAATTTTATCCCCAAAGAGTTTTTTGGGGGAGTTTTTTCTTCTGTCAGGTAGTAAATGAACAACTTAATG